TTTCGATGTTTTAATCGCCAATTGTCCAAACTTTGAGATGGAAAAGAAAATTCCAAACTCGTTGAAAACAGGAGGAATGAAAATATTCAACATTCTTCGCATCGCAGGCTTTAAAAAATTGTTTACAAAATAATTTAAAATTTGTTATTTTATCTATTTCAAATTAAGCAATGTTTTAGCAAAAAGAAAAATCATATTAAGTAACCCTTGAAGAATTCAATGAATTACTTTTTATTCTAATTTTGTTTAAAATAAATAATAAATATAACTTTTGTATAGTATTGTATGAGTCAATTTTTTAATAAACAAGTAAAATAAATAATAAGAATAATTTAAAATGGAAATATATCTATAAATCAATCAGAACCACCAAATTAAAAATTTGAATTTAAGCTGAGTTGATATGGTTATCAAATTTTGTGATATCCCTAATCAGCTAGCTCAATTTAAAATACAACTTAAAAGTTAATAATTATGATACTCAACCTTAAATTAAGAACCAATTAATTAATTTCGTTTAGAATTTGATAACCATATTCTGGAAGGAAAATTTAGTCATCATAATCAACTCAACTCAATTTAAAATAATTGATAAGATATCAAATATTCTAAACAAAATACTAGAACCATATTAAAAAAAACTACTAATTATTGTTTGGAGCCAAGATTGACAAAGTCAGAGAAAGCATTAATTTCTTTCCCGTTAAGAAATAGGAACTCGTTTAGAAATGGTCAAAGGATACGCAGAATAAATAAACAAATAAAAATGTTGATCGTTGACCACTACACAGACAGATAAGTAATTTGCACACAAGTGGTTATAGATACAGCTAATCAAAAGTTAAAGCGATATTAAAGTAAAAAATAACAACTATAATAAAAGAACACACATTAAAATCATTTCAATAATATCTTAAACTTACGAGAATTCCTCTCTCTTTTCTATTCAACTTCAAGTCCCAACATGTTACCAAGTTTTATCTGCTATACAAAATATTTGTTAAATGCAAACATAAAAATGAAAACACCCCGTTACAAGAACATATATCAATTATGTATACAAATTTAACGTTTATAGTATAAACTTGTTTTCAGACATCTACAAATAGAAGGAGAAGTTGTTAATAGTTGCATTTTTATGCAAAATAAATGTACCCTTGAGGTTGAGCACACAATAACTATGGAGCTTTCTCCTTATAAATGTTGGAACCTGAGTTAATGGTAACATGTATGAAAGGCTAAAATTTCTCATGGCTGAAAATTGTTTTTGTTGCGACGGACAAAATAGAAGTGGTGAAGAACTTTGTGTGAACCGTCTTAATAATTGGTCCATAAACAACGATGGTATGATAACAAGGAAAAGGGGTTTGGTGATTTATTATTACTTTTAAAGGGCAAAAAGTTACGATGTTATCGTTTTTCCCATTGTTATTTATTTATATTCGTTTTTATGGGAGAAGACAAGAGTGTGGAGTCAAGGCTGGCGAGCCGTCTCTTCGGTCCAATGTTGAATCATAACAAGCTGCTCCAATAATGGGTGCCACCATTCAAATCCTTTGAGAATCGTATCATATCATCTACAAGAAAAGTGGATGCATATGTTAAAGTTTAGCTACAAAAAGTACAAGGTTCATATAATATTAGTTAAAAAAAAATTATGGTTTAAATTTTAATATAATGCATCACTAAGTGAAACAAATACTATTATTTGATTTAAGACTATAGATGATCCCGTTCGTTTTTTCAGAAATAAAAATGTTAACGAAAATAATTGAAACAATATTACAATAAAAAATTACATTCATGTGTCCTTTATGCTTAATAAAATTTTGTTAGATGTTTCATTTTTAATCCTACACGAACATCCTTTAATTTTTTAACGATATGTATAATAGTATATTTTTCTCAATTACGCAAATCATCTATGATTTATTATGTAAATGTTTAAATTAAGAGACACTAAATCAAGATTTAGAGTTGAAGTGAGGAAAATAGAACTAATTTTGTAAATATATTAAATAAAAATGTTGAGAAGAGCATGCTTGATGACTAGGACCGCTAAAAATCAATGATGGCGATTGACTGAATAGAATTGACAAGTAATTAATGCATGGAAGGCATATTAGTTAAGGCTTACGATCATGATTATTTAAGATTTTATTTTATTTAATTTTTTCAGTATAAAAATGAACAAATAATAAAATTTTATTAAAAATTATAACATTTAATGTTATTTTTATAATATCTTGTAATTTTTTATATAAATTTACTATATGTAAATTCTTATTTTGTAGCCTTTACATATGTTAAAAAGATATTTTGTTTTATAAAAAATATTAAATATAAATGCGAATATTGTATTTGCTAAAACTTACTAGTTACTATTGAAAGTATGCAGCAAACTTTTATCCTTCAAAAAAGATAAAAAAAAAAAAAAGGAACTTAAAAGACAACTTAATCTTCTACTCCTTAAGCTACACTAATCTCATCACAAGTAGTTAGGGCTTGTTCTTCTTGCCCAATGGAGATCATGCAAAACTAAGTTGTTCATTACGTGGAATCCTCTTTCTTTAGGTTATATGAAGTTAGCCAATGAGATTATGTGAAAAAAGTTATTGTGATTTTTATGCAAAAATTGATTGATGTTCAACTTAGCAAGTTGAGCTAGGTGGGCTCTTACATGGCTTAAAATATGTTAAGATCTTAAATTTAATGATTTTATTGTGGAATTAGATTCTCAACTTTTCTACCATCTTGTTTTATAAGGATATCCCTATTTGATCGAGGAGACTAAAATTCTTATCCATGATATGAGTTGTGAATTAAACACTTGTTACAAAAAATTAACAAATATGCATATCATTAAAAGAAAGTTGAGAGCTTCTTATGATATATATATATATAGGGTTTTAGCGATAAATGATATTATTTTTTAAGAATGTAAAATGAAAATAAGGATACTTATAAGTCAATTTCCTTTTTGTGAAAGTCAAGTTAGATTTTATTTTAAATAAGTTTGTCTTACTTATTAAATCCAAAACTCGAATCTAATAACCAATTTATCTAACATTAATTTTTTTAAGTCAAACCTAATACAATTTAACTTAAAGTCTATTTAAAAAATTCCATTAAAATAAGTTAATAGATTTATCTCTGAACAGGTTAACGAGCACAAACTTTTATCTGCAAGGCAAATATGCCCAAGTCTTAAAATATGCCAAGAAGTATAAAATTATAAGATATAGTAATATTGTTTTGTGTTAATAGTATTTTCTAATTAATCCTTTCAATACTTAAAATATATATATATATATTTATTAGAAATACATTATAAGAGAAATAAAATTATTCTTTAAAATTTAGAGAAAAGAATTTAAGTAAGTACAAATTTTTTTTTATTATTATTATATTATTTTCATCTAATTAAATTAATTAATCTATTATAGTTAAATTGTTTTTTTAAATAAAAAATTGATTATATAAACTTTTAAATTATTTTAATTCATTTTATTTAATAAACAAGTCCAAATTATATAAAATTTGATGTCAGTGTAAATTCCCAATGAGCTACTTAACCTATTATCATATATACCAAAATTTTCTCCCTTATTTTAATTATACTTAAAATTTTAATCCTGAAATTGGTGGCTGCCACATTATTGTTTTATCGATGTTTGTATAAACACCCTTTTATTTATACTAAGTTATCCATGTGTGGCTGAACAAAAACAAAAAAACAAAATAGTGAAAATAATGAATGATATATCATTCTCTTTCTATAGATGGTGATCCAACAAAGCTTTAAATGATTCCCATATTCTCTTTTATTTTTAGAATCCCATTACATTTAGTAATTCTAATTACGACTAACATAGAATCAAGTTATATATGTGTGTGTAATTTTAATAGAGAGTGAAAATCTGCAATTTTTAATTGAAATTTCACAATCACCTATCATGCCAATAATAATAATAATAATATTTGTTGTTTCGTAGAGAGGCAAGTTACAATGATGGACATTTGAAAACACAAATAGGGGATCTTAAGGAATGATTCCTTTTTACATCGAAAGAAATATTCTACACCAAAAAAGAGAATCAAATTAAATGAAACAATTATAAGTTTAACTAGGTCTTAGCTTAAGGCCGATGTATATATAAATAATGTAATAGTCATATCCACCCTCTATTAAAAAAATTAAAACCTACATGCTTTAAAATTATAATATATAGTTTATTATGTTGTGCACATCTTAGTAACCTCCTCCCTCTTTCCTAGTTGGAAAATAAAAGCAAAGTGGACCCAAACTCTTCTTTTGTTTGCACATTCAAATTTTAAACCCTTCCTTCTTTCTTTCTTCTAAAATTTTAAAAAGAACAGTTTTCCATTGTACTTAAATAAAAACTAATGGAACAATTTCAATTATACTTAAAAATGAATTTTTAAAATGATTCTCTCTTATTCAAGTCGTTTCTGTATATAATGAGTAACTTATAGATGTTTCATAAATTAAGCTACACTCTAGTCGAGTAAATATTTATAGTAAATAAAATCTAATAAATATTTGCCAAATCCTGCACATTAGTAGTGTAACGGTAATTCCCCCCCCCCCCCCTCCCCCCTTCTAGAATATGCCATTATTTCATAGACAAGGCGTTAATCTCTCTTGAAATAGTTGAATGATACAAATGGAGGTTATCCGTTAAAATCAAATTTAAAATTACATATTTTATAAATTAAAAAAAATCATTACAATTTAATAGATGTTATGACAGTAATATAATTTGCATAAAAAAATTCAGTCATAATTTTTGTATTAAAATTCTATTTCATAAAATATAAACATGTAAGATCATCATAAATTATTAAAATTTAAAAATGATACCTTTGACAAATTATATTTGCCGTAAAAAACTGGCATAATATATACCAAAAAAAGGTTTGAAATAAGATGAATTTGGAAGTGAGGTTATAAATTTAATTTGAAGAGTTTTATTGGCAATTCTCTAACACTGATTACGTCATTTGGTGGAAAAGAACTTCTCCTCCTATCCTTTGTCTCGTGCTCGTCTCGTTCCGCGTTGAAGAGTTGTTCGTCATTGGCAGCGAGTACTATTCAATTCCATACGCGCGCAATTAACGTTAGACCAAATTAAATCATTAATTACCCAATTAATAAACCCAAATTTTTTAATTAAAAAAACATTTAACATTAGTGCTGAAACGGTATATATAGCAGACCACCAAGGTAAGGAAGGTCCAGTCGCACAATAGTTTCCTAAATTACAACGTTGCCCCCATCAAAGAAAAAGAAGAAACAGAGAGAGAAAGAGAAAGAGACCCAAGCAAAAAAAAAAATAACTGATTGGGTGGTGTGAAATGCTGGCGATGGGGTTGCAACGCGGTGGCGGTACCCCGGCGGTGTGAGATCTTACGGTGGCGCTGAGCATTTCCGGTGACCCTTTTGCGAAATGGGTTCGGGGCCGATTGGTGGCGGCGGTGGCGGTGGCGGTGGCGGTTGTTCTAACGGTGGTAACGGTAGTTGTTGTGATATGAGTCTCAAGTGTTCGTGTAGGTGGAGATTGGAGAACCAACAGTATTATAAGCGGTTTTTTTCTTCTGGTTTCGTTTTCTTTTTTGGGTGTTTCGTTTTGTTTGGATCGATTGCCACGCTCTATGGTTGGCTCGCTTTCTCGCCCGCAGTGCACACCGCTCTCTCTCCTTTTGGTTGCCAAGAGGACAATGAGGGGTCTTGGTCAATTGGGATTTTCTATGGTGACTCTCCTTTCTCTCTTAAACCCATTGAAGCTGTGAGTTTCTCTCTCTTTCTCTCTATGGTATTTTTATTTTTATTTTTTAGTGAGTTTACAGTGGGGTTTTCATTTGCATGTCTGTGTTGATTCGTATCTTAAAGTTATCATTTTTATAAAAAAATAAAAAATGAATTTTTTTTTGGAGTTGTGGATTATGTTGTTGGAAGTTTTGCTTTTTTTATGATGAACTGATGGTCATAAATTATTTCAATTGGGGGTTTGGTTTTGTGATGTGAGAGAAAATTAGAAAATAATAATAATTCTTTTTTATGTTTGTATCTCTTTTGGTTACTTTGATGCTTGTGTATTTTGATTTTGAAAGTGTTGTTTTTGTGATTGTGGGATGGGTTAATTTTTGTTGTTTTGGAGGTGATGGTGTTGATTGTGTGCAGGCGAATGTATCCAACGATGATAGTGCTGCTTGGCCGGTCGCCAATCCGGTGGTGACGTGTGGTTCGGTTTCTGATGCTGGTTTCCCCAGTAATTTTGTTGCTGACCCTTTTCTTTTTATTCAGGTAACAGGTTTTTGTCACCCTTGCTTCCTTCATATATCTGGTGTTTCGGATTCTGTGAAATCGCTTTGCTTCTTTCCCTTTTTATTTTTTCTTTTGTATCTGTACATTTTTTACCCGCACTATCCTAACTTTTTTTTTTTTTGCATACTGTTTTGTTTGCAAAGTCAGTGTTTGGATTCAGTCATTAGTCCCTAATAATTGAATTTTTGTGTTAGAACGTTAAGGGGAATAGTAAAAGATTATATGTTATGTTATAAGTATTATTATTATTATTATTTCTCCCGATGAACTTGCCTGTTTCTGGAGAATGTTATTTGGAGCTTTAAATTTTACATGGGACAATAGATTTTTTTTACTTTCCTGGATCTGTATGTACAAGCAATGTTTTCTTAGTTGCTTGAGATAACTAACTAATTGTTTTACTTATGTTAGAAGCTGTCTAAAAGTTGACGGGTAGGTTAGGATGTGTCTAGTGGCAACGATTGAAGTGTGAGATGAAAATTTATGGCTACGTAGGGATTGTGTGACATCTTGTATTTTGTTCTTGTCTGCAAGGTCTTGCTCTATGTGCAAGTTAGTCGGGGTCCCTACTGTGTGTCATACTTAGAGAGGAATTTTGAGCAAAACCTGATATTGTTCGTGCTGTTAAGGAGCTGATGTTAAATTGTATTCTATTTCCCATGAAAAGTAGGCTTTCTGCTCATTCTGTATATAGCTCTGTGGGGGTGTTGCTCAAGGTATTAAATAGTGTTTTTCTCTTTTTTTTATTGAAAGAGGATATTTATAAAACCTTCCGAGCTTTAGTGCCATCAGTTTAGTCTATAAACTATAAAAACTAGAATAACCGGGGTCCTCTTTTGGATTAAAAAAGAAACAGTGGTCCTCTTGGTTGTCCATGTTGTGTGATTAAAAATAAAGCTAGTAGGAAGAGATCCATCAGGGAGTGTCTTGATCAGTTCCAAAATCTATATTTTACCAATCTTTTTGGGTTTTTAATTTACATTTTCATTAAACAAGTAGTACTTATACACAATTTATTGCTTACTGTATTCCTATCTGATTTTTATTTTCTCCTTTGGACCATCATATTTTGTTTGGAAAGAAAATAAAACAGTTTGTGATAACTGGAAATCAAGTGCCCCTTTGAAATTCTTCTCTAAATTTTTGAAAAAGGATGAATCAGAATGGTGACATAATATCTAAGTGTTGTTGTCAGGGGGAATATAACAGGTGAATTAGGTTCAATATTGTAGAACGAGGGGAGATTTCTGTGGACTTAATCTCTAACAAAACAAGTTGCATCTTTCTAAATATCTGTGCATGTTTGCTCTCTATAGTGTTATTTCAAAATAATAAATAGAATCCTTTTTTCCTTTTTCTCCTCATTTCGAATTGCTTGTGAAACATTGTCTGCTAAACTAACTGTCAGTAGCTTCAGACATCATTAATTCTGCAACAAAATCTTCTGTGCCAGATAAAGTTTGTATGGAACACCCTTATGTCCTATATAGGTGTTAGTGCTTAATCTCAACTTTTTGTCATGTTGTTCTGATGTAATGAATTTATAGGAACATTTTTTATAAGCAGTCTTCAAATGGAAAGGTATAATAATAAGCCTAAAAATATTTGCATGTGCACAAAGAGATGCATCACTATGTTTGTACATAATGCTTGAGTGATGAACAATATTAATGGAAAATTGGTTAATATCTTTAAATTTCTTGTTTAACGCTTTTGAAGTTTCTTGTTTTCTATATGGATAACCAGTATGAACCTATTCACTGATGTTGGCATTGTAACACAGGGAGATACCTTTTACCTGTTCTATGAGACAAAAAATTCAATCACTGTGCAAGGTGATATTGGAGTTTCAAAAAGTACTGATAAGGGTGCAACATGGCAACAACTGGGAATTGCCTTGAATGAGGACTGGCATCTTTCTTATCCATATGTCTTTGAGCATGGTGGCAAGGTATTGTTCTTGGGAAATATTGTGTGTATTTAGTTATAATTATAAATATGATACATTCGAACTTTTCTAATGCTCTTCTTCTCAAACTGATCATTGTAGTTAAATTATAATTGTTAAGATATTCAAAATTTTTTTTTTTTTTGCTTGTTTGTAATTTCACAGATATATATGATGCCTGAGGGCAGTAAGAAAGGAGATCTTCGTCTCTACAGAGCAATTAACTTTCCTTTGCAGTGGAGATTGGAAAAGGTCATCATGAAAAAGCCCCTTGTTGATTCTTTTATCATCAATCATGGTGGGAAGTATTGGCTTTTTGGCTCAGATCATAGTGGGTTTGGAACCAAGAAAAATGGGCAGTTGGAGATTTGGTATAGCAGATCGCCTCTTGGTCCTTGGAAACCGCACAAGAAGAACCCCATTTATAACATTGACAAGAGCTTGGGAGCTCGTAATGGAGGCAGGCCATTTAAATATGAAGGAAATCTTTATCGCACGGGTCAGGACTGTGGTGATACATATGGTAGACGGGTGCGTGTTTTTAAGATTGAAACTCTTACTAGTGAAGAATACAAAGAAGTTGAAGTACCATTAGGCTTTGTTGAACCAAACAAGGGTCGAAATGCTTGGAATGGTGCTCGATACCATCACTTAGATGTGCAACATCTGCCATCTGGTGGCTGGATTGGTGTTATGGATGGGGATCGTGTTCCTTCTGGAGATTCAGTCCAGCGATTCATGGTAGGTTGTGCTTCTGTTGCAGTTGCTGCTATACTCATTGTGCTGTTGGGTGTGTTGCTTGGATTTGTGAATTGTTTTGTCCCTCTTAACTGGTTCATTCATAACTCTGGGAAGAGGAATTTAACTTTCTTGACGTGGGAAAGGTCAAATATGTTCTCTTCAAGAGTAAGACGGTTTTGCAGCCGCTTGAACCGGGCCCCGACATTTCTCCGAGGTAAGATAAAGCATAATGCTTGTGCTAGGAGGTTCATTCTGGCTATTATATTTGCTGTGGGGGTTGGATTGATGTGCATAGGAGTGAGAAATATTTATGGCGGTAACGGTTCAGAAGAACCTTACCCGTTGAAAGGACAATATTCCCAGTTTACATTATTAACAATGACCTATGATGCTCGTCTCTGGAATTTGAAGATGTATGTGAAACATTACTCAAGATGTTCTTCTGTGCGGGAGATAGTTGTGGTGTGGAACAAGGGAGTCCCTCCGAAGTTGAGTGATCTTGATTCTGCAGTACCAGTAAGGATCAGGATAGAGGAAAAGAACTCTCTAAACAATCGGTTCAAGGATGATCCGTCTATAAAGACACGGGCAGTCCTTGAGCTTGATGATGACATTATGATGACATGTGACGATGTCGAGCGTGGTTTTAATGTGTGGCGTCAGCACCCTGATCGCATTGTTGGATTCTACCCTCGGCTTATTGATGGGAGCCCATTAAAATACAGAGGAGAAAAATATGCAAGGATGCATAAAGGGTACAACATGATTCTTACTGGTGCTGCTTTTATGGATTCTCAAGTAGCTTTCAAGAGGTACTGGAGTAAAGAAGCAAAGCAAGGGAGGGAAATAGTGGACAAGAATTTTAACTGTGAAGATGTGCTCTTAAATTATTTGTATGCAAATGCAAGTTCATCAAGGACAGTTGATTATGTGAAACCAGCTTGGGCGATTGACACTTCAAAATTTTCAGGCGCAGCAATCAGCCGAAACACGAAAGAGCATTATCGGTTGAGAAGCCATTGCCTGATAAAATTTTCAGAGATGTATGGAAGTTTAGCTGGTCGAAAATGGGGATTTGACAGTAGAAAAGATGGTTGGGATGTATAGTAGGGGAGTTTTCTATAGCTAGGTCCTTGCCAACTTTTGTATTTTTCATCTTTGCGGCTATAAAGTCTTCTTGTCTATACTTGTACCCCCACTTTCTAGGGGGTTTTCCAATAGAATGTCTGCAACATGTAAATTGGTTCCATAATGGCCTTTTCATGTTATATTTTTTAATTTGTGCCTCCAACCCCCCGAGGCTGATTTGTCATAGATGGTGTTGGGATTGAAGGAAGCATAGGGAAAGACACAGATTCATCAAGGATCATTCATACATGCAAAATAGGACTAAAACTATTTCCCAAAGACATTCCTTAGAATACTGTAATTCTGATCCTGGCATTGATTCTAATTTTGATTGCTTTTTCACTACTTCTTAGCCTTTTTTTTTGGGGGGTTCCTTTCTTTTATTCTTAGATTGACTCTGGTTTCTGGTTTCTGGTTTAGGATGGGGGATGATTGAGTCTACATCTAGCAAGCAAAATGAAACAACTCTGGAGTCGCTGTTATATAACCCTGTTTAATTATTTTTAATGACGTCTAAAATTATATAAATTATTATACAAAATGCGTTTACACATAGTAATAATGATTTAGATATCTGAAAAATGACACAGCAAAAAGAAAAATGGTTATTGAAGGAACATGATGCGTAAAAATGCATCTACAAGCAGCAGCGATCCCAGGCCTGGCAGAGAATTTTTCGAACCTTCTCATGATTCTGGATAATTCGTGTTAGCTACGAAGTCTGCATGAACATGCTTCAACAACAGCATGTGCAGTTCTCGCCATCCCCGTAAGAGTAAAGGTAATTTCTTGATTATTAATTTAGGATTTGACTAAAATAAGAAAACATGTGAAGTGAGAAAGTGAAACTCTATTTATTATTAATTTAAATTTGATTATATTTATAAAATACTTTAATTCAAATTAACTATGGATAGTGTTTAACTTTCTTACTTCAAATATTTTCTCCTTTTAGTATAGTTAAATCTATTAATTTACTAATTAATTGTTAACATAATTAGGTAGAGGAGTTAACCAAAAAGGAAAAAAAAAATTGTAACAAAAAAATCACTACAATTTGGTCAATCACTCATTAAAAACATGATGCTTGAATTATGCATTGGTCCGAGGACCATTATATCCTATATTGAAGATAATCTTGTTGAAATATTCAAAACATGCTTGGGACAATTCTTTCTGCGAGATTTATTTTCTTGCTTAGAAGAAATTAGACATATATGACATAAACTCCATAAACGTTGGTTCTTTTGTTTTGTTTTATACATGTTTTGGTGGGGGAAGGCATTGGTCATTCATTGGTTGTCAATTAAAAAAGGTTGGCTAGTACGAGAAAACAAGTTGCAAGATATTAAGCTGCACTATCACTCAGATTCAACTGCATTTCATAACACTAATGTATAAAGAAAGTTTGATTAAATGCCCATTTAGATTATTGACATCTTCATTTTTTTTGTGATGTCTTGTTTTCAAAGGATTTTAACAACATATTTTCATATATTAGCAATATTTAAGAATAAATTTAATTAAAACTATTGATAAAATAACAAGTTTTTATATTGTTTTTATTAAAAAAAATTATATCGTAGTCTGTTCTCGCTCATTTTGCTTTCAACAAAGTTGAATTTGTAACATGTTACATTGGATTTACATGTCTAATGGTTTTTCTCTTTCGACCATATTCAATTATATGGTGAAGTGTTCGTATGCAAGCTTTTCATTGCGACATTTTATCAAGAAATGTCTTCTTGTGTTCGAATTGCCTATAAAAGATTCCATCTTTTTGTTTTCTTGATTGAAATCCAAAGAATAAGTCACCGACTAACCTTTTCACATAAAGCATTATTAATGTCCCCGAAAATATGTAAGGGGAAATTCTTACATTTTTTTATTTTGATTAAAAAATTATAGTATCAACTTTTACTTTTTTATGCAAAAAATAATTGTTTAACCTTTCTTTGATGAATTAAGAGCTAGTTTGAAACATTATTACACTAAGTTGATACTAACCTTTCTCATCATTTTTTTAATCCTCTGTAACTTTTGAAATAAAAAAATTTCCTTTCTCTCTCACATCAAGTGCATTTTTTTCATATGTAACAAGGATATAAAAGGGGTGTGTTAACAAAATAAAAAATTAACATTTTTGAAAAACCAAATAAAATAAAAAGAGATCAATACTAGAAATTAATGGGGTATGCCAAAATAGAAGTGCGACATTGAAGGTAAATATATACATAAAAAGCCACATGCAAAGTGGGTTAGGTGGGTAAATCCCAATTGAAATGGAGTCTTGTGATTGTCTATTCCAACAGGCTCGCCCTATTCAACACATATTATAATTTTAAAACATGTTAACATTAATTGATTACTATAACTGTTTTTAAATAACTTAAAATATATTTTATTAAAAATAAAATATTTATCACATAAAATATAAAATTCCAATAAATATTTTTACTAAAAAAGCTTAAAAAACAGTATATAATAATTTTTTCTCTTATTTCTTAGTATTTATTTAATCAACAAATATGATAAACTAAACCTATCAATTTATTTTATTATATTCTAATCTAAGTTTTATATTCTCTCTTTTATCATTATATTATATCTTATTCACAAAAATAATTCTAAAATTTAATATTAAAAAGAGTTGATTTCTGCTTTATTATCAATTTTTGTTCTTCTTTATCTGCAAAATTATGGAGTTTGTATATGGGTCTTCAACTAGTTATTTCAAAAAATGTTTAGTATATTTAAATCGAAAGTGATTCTAAAGAAGTTATCAATCTTATCTTATTTATCCAGCCTCTTTCTCGCCCTTTGTTTGATCTTCTATGTAATATTAGAAAGTCTCTTAGATAAATTAAGTTTGTTAGGTTGAATCATATTTGGAAGAAGACAAACCTTTGTGCGAATTTTATCGCAAAATTTAATCTTGACCTCATGTTTTCTCTTTGTCAGTTTAAGTCCTTTTCCTTCTCTAATTTTTTTGTTAATTAAAAATTCTTGTAAATACTGTTATTTTAAACTTTTAAGGGTTCTTGTTGTTTGAATTGGTAAGTTCTATTTATTACAAAAAATATATATATTAAAAAGAATAGTTTTAAATTTTCATTTTTTATATTTGTGAATTCTTCTAAGTATTAAATAAAAAATATACATTAATTTTTATATTTTTAAAAGAATAATTATATGCACTTTATTTAATATTTATCTCATATAATAATTAAAAATATATAGGAAAAAAACGTCATTTTTAAAATAAAATCAGCTAAGCATGCATTTAAATTCGGCATTAGAAAAAAAAAACAAATTTTTAAATAAGATTTGTTAAACTCTGACATGTAATGAATTCAAGAGACTTCAGCTTTAGTTCAGCCCTTTAAATTAGTTAATTGAGTAGAATAAGGTGAATGTCCAATCTACAACACTACACGATACAATATATGACGCGATCATTGTCATAGGTAAAATATTGTCAAAGAATATTTTGAAAATATTGATTAAAATACAATACATAGTTTTTTTTATTAAAAATAAAGGTTACATAAAGAAACTAGTTGTTGTTTTCAATAAATAAATAAATAAATATTTAAAATTAAATTTTAAAATAAGATTTAAACATATACAGTAATTTATTTTCAAAAAAGGTATCAGTATATATATATATATATATATATTCATAATGTTAAAATGAATCTTAATTTGAATAAGAAGTGTGCTAGATTTGATATGGGTGAAGATAAGATATGAAACGTGTGATTTGCAGTCAAAAGGGTCAAAGCATTGAATCCAATGTCCGGAGATGTGCCCGAAATGGCATGGGATTGGACTATTCCATCTATTGGAAAGGGAAGACTGACAGAAAAGCATGGAATTGCACAAAAGATTGTAATGATATGAATTATTTATTTATGCAAACACTTCGCTTCTTTTTTCTTCACTTCTCATGACAGGTGTTTGCGTTGTTCCTGATTTAGGCATAATAGCCACAAAGAGAGAGAGATAAAATGAATGATCTCCATCATCATTCCTTTCCCATGTGATGTGCTCCCTCTCTCTCTCTCTCCCTCTCTCTCTCTAGTTAGGGTTTTCAATTTCAATCAAACCCAAAGCACCCAACTTTCCCATTGAATCACACAATTCCCTTCACCCTTCTCCTTTTTGGCCAAAAGGGTCTCATCGGGTTTGCCTATTTTTGACAGTTTCGAGCTCTCCTCCTCTGGATTCTAGAGAGAGAAAGTGCTTTTCTAGAGAGAGAAACTCATGATGGGAATGTAGAGTGTAGTTCCCTTTTTGTTGTTGTTGTTGGTGGTGGTAGTGGTGGTGGTTGCGGTGACCGAGCAATGTTGGAAATGGAGAAGGATTTTGATTCCAAGCTGAAGGTTCAGGCGAATTCTTCCTCTTCCAACGGTGGTGGGAATGTCCAGAGATCCAAGAGCTTTGCTTTTAGGGCTCCCCAGGAGAATTATACCATTCAGGACTTTGAATTGGGCAAGATCTATGGCGTTGGCTCTTATTCTAAGGTCTGACACAAACTTTTGTTGTTTTTATCTTGTGGGTTGGTGTTGGTTTGCTTTTCTTTTTTTTTGTGCATTGCTTTGATCGATGAATGAATCCTGTGTGGATGTTGTTGGCATTTGTAGTTTTGTCACATTATATCTGTTCAGTTCTGTTGATTGTTGGTTGCCGGTTGGATAATCATTGATGCCTATTGTGCGGTAGAGATCATTGGGCAATATTTTCATCCTTGTTGCCATGCGTTGTTGTATTGTATGGAACACCATTTGGTAGCTTTCATTTAGCAATTTTTATTTGCAAAGGGGGATTCTTCTTTGATGCTGTGACATGAATGGTTGCTAAAACTGTTGTAAATACTGCTCGTAACTCCACCCTTCCCATATTATTGCTCCACTTATTTTACAGAATAGGAAATACCTTTCATTTTCGGAGCTATGTATTATTTGTTAATAGCTATTATGGTATTATGACCTATATTAAAATATGAAATTTCACATTTGTTTTGGAACAAATGAATCCTCAAGATAGCCTTTGATGTAATTAATGTGAATTACAGAAGTTATAGAGCTGGAAGTAAAACAATTTATAGGTTGTAGAAAAGGAAGCGATCCGAGGAAATGATTGGCTTAACTGTGAGGGGTATACCCAGCTGGAAGTGAAACTACTGCTGGTGCATGAAATCGGCAGGATATCCTTCGTGCAAGTGTGTTATTGCGATGCCTTTACCAGTAGCCTTTATTGGGAAGTTCACCCTGCATGTGAATTGCTATTACCAGTGTACTTATTTGAACTGCATCGACATCAAATATGACTATCTCACATCTTACTGAAAACATATATTTTTTTGTCCCTTTTTCTATTACTTTTATGTGATACATATATTGCCTTTGCCTTTACCCCTCTTGCTCTCACACTTGCTTTCTCTGTGTCTTGCTTTATTTATGATTTGTTTTTCATTTTTGTCCGACTGTTTTGGGTGGCTGTGACCAAAACAGTCTGACATTTTGGCACTTTTCTCCCGTTATAGTGAACAGTTGTTTGAGTCAATTTATTTTCTCTTGTAAATTATTACCAAATATGTTTCTTATTATGTTTAAAGGTTGTGAGGGCAAGGAAGAAGGACACTGGAACTGTGTATGCATTGAAGATCATGGACAAAAAATTTATTACCAAAGAGAACAAAACAGCTTATGTGAAGTTGGAACGCATAGTGCTTGATCAATTGGACCATCCAGGCATTGTGCGGCTATATTTCACATTTCAAGACTCACTTTCTCTGTGTAAGTATTTCTGATTATATTTTCTCTATATACTGGCATTTCCTATGGTTTACTCCTTTCCAATATCTTCTCAACTCTTCCCTTGTTTGCCAAGTTGGTTTATATATTATTTTGACGTTATCTTTTTTCCCTTTGTTCCTTTTACATTGATGAAGATATGGCACTTGAGTCCTGTGAAGGTGGAGAACTTTTTGATCAAATAACCAGGGTAAGCTAATATGAGTAAGACAGTATAATTATAGAACTGTTACACAAGTTAATTGTAGAACTGTTACACCAAAGCCCATGAAAAATAGAACTGTTACACAAGTTAATAACCAAGTTTATTAGTTTGTGAGACGATATTACAATGGTAAGTAAGACAGTAAGCACATGTTTGGTTTTGCATAATTTTAACATGAAAGAAAGCTTTTCAGCCAAGAGCTCTGTTTGCTGCATTTTGATTATAAGATTTTCTTAATGCAAAATAAGCTAATCCATAGAAGCACATATCACTAAAAATAAAAGAAGTCATAGATTATACGATAAATCAAATCACATAGAACATATGGTTCCAAAATACAAATCCGTTACACCTACTAGAACAAAAACTTGCAAAAAATGGCAGTGCTTAAATAGTATTCATCTATACACTATAGTTTGTAGAAGGTATCAAACTCTTGGCATCCCATATCCACTTAATTAACATCCAATGGCCCCTATGCCTCCAACAAAAATTACTTGTGTAGTTGTGTACTGTCATATTTTCCTTATCATTATTTGTCATCTGTGTCAGGAGACCCTTAAGACAATATTTGTACTTTAGTAGTGGTTAGAATATGGAAATTAGTAATATGTAAGCCAATATCTTTCTGCATGCTTGCTCCTGCATGATATCTACTAGTAATCTTTCTGATTTGCTATGTGCAGAAAGGTCGACTAACAGAGGATGAGGCACGATTCTATGCAGCTGAAGTTGTAGATGCTCTTGAATACATACATAATTTGGGAGTGATACATCGTGATATTAAGGTAGTTCTGTGACATAATTATACTGCATTATAGCCATATATGGCCATGTTAATATTGTATTTCTTCAAATGCAGCCAGAGAATTTATTACTTACAGCTGAAGGACATATTAAAATAGCCGATTTTGGGAGTGTGAAGCCTATGCAAGATAGCCAAATTACTGTCCTTCCAAATGCCGCATCAGGTAAAATAGGAGCAATGTGGAAGCTACTTTATATATATATATATATATATTATTTTATTTTATTTTTTGGTATTGTATTTATTTATTAAGTATTTATTTTAACATTTCTAGATGACAAAGCCTGCACTTTTGTGGGCACAGCTGCTTATGTCCCTCCAGAGGTTCTTAATTCCTCCCCAGCAACTTTTGGGTAGGGACTGCATTATCAAGTAACAGATAAATTTTATGTTATGATAATATTATTTCTTTTCCCTCCACCATGATGTAAGCAGATTTTCAAATTTCTCTTTGAATATTGTCATTCACTTTTCTCCAAAAAAATTATTTCTTGTACCAGTCTTCCTTGTATGTAGATTGTTCAATTCGGTTTGTGATTTTTTTTTCTAAATCAATGATTATCTTTGACAATTTAGATGTTAAATTTGCTTATGAACTGAATTTCATTATCGCTTTTGTCTCATGCCAGGTCCCCATATAATAACTTTTCTTTTGTTTTTTGTTTTTCTTTCCCTCAATATATCACCACAGAAATGACCTATGGGCACTTGGCTGCACATTATATCAAATGCTTTCTGGAACTTCCCCTTTTAAAGATGCAAGTGAATGGCTTATTTTTCAAAGAATTATAGCAAGAGAACTTAGATTTCCAGATTACTTTTCTGAGGAAGCAAGAGACGTTATTGATCGGCTATTGGTTCGTATTATGACTGTGCACACAGAAATCATGGCATCACTTATGTTCTGTATGATACATTGTTACACTTCGTATTTTTGTTAATTGATTAGCTACTCTTTAAATTCACAAACTAAGAGCATGAAGGAGAGTAGTATCCAGGATTTAAGTGTTTCATCTCTGGTCTTCTTGAAGGACAGCATTGTGAGGCTGGGGGCAGGTTAGGGAGGGGTCAACAGGAAGTGAAAAGGTATATGTGTAGACTATTAGATAACAAAGATAAAGGGTACATTTGATTCACATTGAAGGACAACATAAACAAAACAACAATTTTAAGAAACTGAGCTGCAGACTATTTTTTTTGTTGTCTATTGTATGTTAGTTGGTGCACAACACAAACTGGGGGGCTGTGCGAGGTTCTTAATTGACATCAATGGGGTTTGGCCACATTGATGAGTATTTTTGACTTTTGGGTGGTGTTGTGGGGCAAGTTGTTAACAAACTTTTGTCTTTTTCTTCATCTTTTGTTTTGTTAGATCCCATGTCAAATTTAAAATCAATATGAAACAAGTATTTGAGTGCTATCTAGTCGTTTCTGTTTTTAACAAGTCAAAAGCACCCATATTATACAGATCAGTGAATTTTTTCCAGAAGAATCATGAAAATTGCAAGACAATGTATTTTTAAGTACATAACTACATGCCAATCAAACTTACAGGATATGATAATAATGCATGAATTAATTAGTAATACTAAAATTCATCATTTTAACAACTTTTTTTAGCATGCTTTAAGTTGCATGCTGTAGGTTATTTTGTCAGGTTTTAATTTTAAATAGCAATGCATGCAGGATTTGGACCCCAGCAGGAGACCAGGTGCAGGACCCGATGGTTATGCTTCTTTGAAAAGACATCCATTTTTCAAGGGGGTTGACTGGGATAATTTAAGGTCACAGATTCCTCCAAAACTTGCTCCCGAACCGGGGGTATGACTACCATTGCTTTGCTCTTTGAAATGCTATATATGGAGAATGAAGAAAGGAACCTCCATTTCTTATCACTTTATTTGTTTATGAACGTAAGTTTTTAACACTGTATATTTCACTTTTAGACTCAGTCGCCGGCAGGTGATGATGTTCATGACTCATCATGGAGTCCTGCTCACATTGGGGATGGTTCTGCAGCTGTGGTTAGACAACCTGATGGTGCTACATCATCTTCTGAAGGGACTGGTCACATAACCAGGCTAGCTTCAATTGATTCCTTTGATTCAAAATGGTGTGCACATGCCTTCCTTTTTTGTAATGTTTTCGCATCCAATCAAGTTAATGCTATCCTTTATGTTTTTTCATGCTGTAGAGCTTTTCACATCCAAGAAAACTGTATTTATTATTATTGTTATTATTATGTAATACATAAATGGGGAAAAACTATGTTAGTTTTAATATTCAGTTGCTTCACTTATCCTAAAAGACAAGAAATAACAGCACATTGAGGTCTCTTTCAATCAAATTATGTTAATTTACACACAAGTTAAGTTATATATTCCCTAATCTCCTCTCGTTCCTTGTTAGTGTTTAATTAAAAAAATTGTGTTCTCATAGAGAGATAAAAAAATTGTTCCACAAATATAGAAATAACAGGATATTGAAAAGGATATTTTAAAAAATAATAAAAAGAAAGGCTCTTATGCACAGCACAGTGCCTAATAGTCTGTGTTTACGTGGCTTGTCAACTTATGCTTGTATTACAGGCAACAATTTTTGGAACCTGGGGAATCTGTTCTCATGATCTCTATGGTGAAGAAATTACAAAAACTAACAAGCAAGAAGGTGCAGCTCATCCTTACCAACAAACCAAAGTTGATTTATGTGGACCCATCAAAGTTAATTGTGAAAGGAAATATAATATGGTCTGATAATCCAAATGATTTAAGCATCCAAGTGACTAGTCCATCAAATTTCAAGATTTGCACAGTAAGTTCTCTCTTCATTACTGATTCTTGTTATACAGTTCGCACTATTTATAAATATAGAAAACAGTATGTTTAAAGTCAGAATCCAAGGTGGCCATGCTAATAGCTGAAACATTTAAATTACAATCTAATGTATAAGTAATTTAATCAATTCAGTAAAGCATCAAAATCATGTACGACTCTAGTTTTTAACATATATGTTATTCCTTAACATCTCTAGAGCTGGAATTGGGTTTTGGTTTTATTTCTCAGACATACAAGAGATCAGGTGAGCTTCATTGCATCCCCAACAATTCTTAACGCCTGAGCCAACATGATCTGAAAAGGCTATTATGATTTAAATGTTTTTCCATAACATGTTTAAGAAAGTGATTTTCCCCAACTTGTAATACCCTTCCCCTATTCATATGTAAATTCTAGTTTTTATTCTATGTTATTTAGTTTTGGTACTTTCCATTTTTCTTATCAAATGTAAATGTAACGATGCAGCCTAAAAAGGTAATGTCTTTTGAGGATGCAAAGCAAAGAGCTTATCAGTGGAAAAAGGCAATTGAAGGACTTCAAAACCGGTGAATTTATTCGGGTTTTGAGAACTTATTCTTCAGATATCTTCATATTGTTCAGCAAGAAGGGATAAAACAGTTGACTTCCCCCAACAATCAATTATTCATTAAAAGAAAACGAATGAGGATTTAGCATTGCTGAAGCTGGTTCTAGCTAATTCCTCACCGCAGCTTAATTTTGTAACAAGTTTTTCCATCCTCTTTCATACTTCGATGGGATGATAAAATGTGGAAGTTCTAATTGTAGGTATGTTGGAGGTTGGAGCCAATACTTTGTAAGAAAAACATCAGTTATTTTTTATAAGATTATGAGTTGTAAGATGATGAAATTTTTGCTATCATAATGTATGAATCATTGAATTTCTCAATTTATTGTTCCTTCAGCCCGTGGTTAGACAGTGAAGCCATCTTGAAATTTCAAAATGGATATTTTGGACATTGGCAATCTGTAAAGAATATAGGTGTAATCTGACAATTCTATGAAGTTTTAGGCATTGAATAAAAATGTGTTTCTAGCAAGCAAGTTAGGTTGCAATTGGTAAGCTTTGCTGTCAAAGTGCATCTGCACAAAGTTCAATGACTATTTGTTGAGCTAAGATGGTGTGTCAAGAATGTATATAATGAAGAGAGACACTCAGCCATGCTTGTAACCTATCAAAATTTGCTTGTGTGTGATCCAGATTGCACATGAAGCAAGACTATATATTATACATACATTCCACTGTCACTGGACTTGCCATTTTTATTGATATTTTCAGATAGACTCGAGAGGACAGAAATTGCATTGCATACGAAGTGAATCTAAATGACATTTCAGTTTGCGGACTTGATATGACAATTCAATTCTCCCAACATAACTCCAAGGTTTGGTAGGTTGAATTAATTGAGGTACCAAAAACAACTAGTAAGGAGTTATTAAGGAATGATAGTTTGGTTAACATGTAACGTTTTTTTTTAAAGTGACTACTACATATTGTGTACTTTCACTATGTCCAAGTACTATGCATGTAATAGGTTCAATTCAGGTCTATTAACCTCTTTTTTTGAATTACAAAGAAAATTGAAGTGTATGCAAGCGTTTACCCAAATTAGCAACAAGGACCTATATTATGATTTGGAGTGTGTTCCAAGACTACTTTGGAGTGAGCTTGAATCCAATTGGGAGGAGATAAATGCAAAATTGCCATCTGCACAAATAATATTCTGTCATCCAAGTCTGTGCTCGAATACCATTTACTAATCTACACAGAACCACCTGATTAGGATCTAATTCTTGGATTAGGAAATAATATTCAAAGAGACAATCGAACGTTTATTATTATAATTTTATGCGTACTAAATTCTTACAAATCCTACTACACCAATAAAAAAAAACGGAGATTTATCACGTTAATTTAAACATAACACTACCGAATAATTATGGCTAGGCTTCAACAATGATTTTATACTATCAAAATTTTAAAATTAAACTTGTTACTGATAATTTCTTTACAATGTAGAGTTAATTTCATATTGCCAAAAACATTTTCTCAGTGTACCCGTAGAAAAAAAATGAAAAATGCATGCATGGCATTTCAGGGGAATTAGAGCAGTATGCTCCAAGAGTTAATTATGAAAAGTGAAAAATGCGACTCCCATGGTTGCTAGTGGAACAGATATGTTGTCATCTACTAACTCAGTAATGGGAAGGGACTCCACCAATGTTGCCACAATAGAAACAAAAGCAACTTTGGGCACAGTGCTTGCCCAATCCAACTGCACATATCCTAGAGCTGAATAGTAGTAGAGCATCCTACATGCAATAATATCATAAGCATCAGTGCCAATATCTAAATGGAACAATATCTTTTTACACTTTACATGTGACTTTGGTTTATATCTTGCCATAAAGATAGGAATAAAATCAGAATTGATGTTGGAAGTCAATTTCCTCACTAGTGAAAGCAAAAGATCTGTTAAAAGGTTGGATAAGTTTGTGACACACCCGATTGAAACTAAGAATCCAAACACAAGCATGGATATGCTACCAGCCCAACTCTTTTTATGATTATAAGGAATCTTCATGGACCCATATCTTCTACCAATGATATCAGCTATACCTGAAAAGTGAAAACCATCAAGTTCAATGTTGATTGATTAGACAAACTAAAAAAATCATCAATTACATAAGAAAGTGAAGGAATGTGTACTAGTACCATCCCCTCCGCACATCATAGCCAAGGAAACCACCCCAATTGGAGACTCACGCCAGAACACAAGAGCACACAAAATCAACATAATAACATAATAAAGGGGACCCCTTAGCAATTCTCTGCAGGTATGAACAATCAATGCTTAGAAGTTACAACATATTCATTGTTTTTCAACTCTCATGATCAAATAAAACCAGAGCAACTGTCAAAAATGAATGAGGACACTTACTGTGGATCTCCTTCTCTAGTCACGGATTTGATCAATCCTTCATCAGAAGTCAATGAGAAACCATTCACCAAAAGCCTCAAGCAATTCACAAGAGGAACAAAAGCAGCGAAATAGCGAGCCTTAGTGGAGTTGCTATCTTAACATTAACATCAAAACATTGAAACAAAGCTACAATCAATGCACAGCAAAAACCTCAGACTCAAAACTTCTACATATATAATATAAAAAGATCAAAACTTTATCCAAAACACAGAAATGGGTTACCTGAAAATAGGCCAAGAAATCAAAAACAGCAAGCCAGAAAGTATATGAACCAGTTTTCTACTCATTCCCTGCCTCATCAAATTTCACAAATCCAGAGAGTCACATCACATCAAAACCAAGCACAAAATTGTCCATCAAAACACAAATCATTAAACAAAACCCAAAATTCAAATTGAATCAAGCAAGTAACAAACTGATTCATTTTCAAAGATTCTGCATCTGCATGCAAACACTGAAGCAATAAGCAACCAGTGACAGCACCTGGTGGAGGATGTTCCTCCGAGTGAGATCGTTAAAAACACGCACAAGGGCGTAACCGCCACCAAGAACAGCCACGGTGGCTCCGCCATTGTAGAGCAGATCCTCTGCAGTGGCAGGGACAGCAAAATGTGACACCCTTGGACCCAAAGGGACAATTGGCACAACAGGACAACGCAAAAACCGAACAGTGTCGTTTGTTGTTATTGGCTTGTTCCAGGGAAAGAGGGTGATCGATGGTGGCCGTGTACGGCAGTGCAGGGCCGAGAATACAAGTTGGTGAGATGATAAGAGCGACATAACTCACAAGACTTGAGAGGACCAGGCAGGACACCCGAAAAAACAACTAGGAGTGATAAGCACTTTTATTGATGTTGATTTAATTTAAATTAAGACAACTTAATTGTCATTTCATGCGTATTTTGAAATTTGTTTTTCAATTGAAATTTAATTTTCGATTTAGTAACATGTATATTAATTGTTTAATAATGATTATCAAGATAAAACATCGAAAATTTTGATGTTACTATACTTAAATCTTCTTGTTTAAATTAAATTATATTGTATTTTCATAAACTTTTGAGAGTGAAAGCAAGAAGTATGTTCCATTAAGCCACTTACCTAAAGAAACCAAAACAAATGTTAGGTTTCAATGGCAAATGGCAACAGCCTCTGTGTTACTTCCACGTCTCCATGGGGACCACAAATGCAGAGTATCACAGTAGCTACAATTTTGGGCATTTGCTACCGCAGCATCAGTTGCATTTCATGTATAAATTGCTTACAATAGTACTTTCCACATAATAAAAATAGATAAAAATTTTGACAACTTTATAGACTAAGTTGTCATATTTACTATTTAGTAAATACCATTTTTGGAGATGAGTAACTCTGTAGCGTGTAATTCATTATGGACTTTTTTGTGTGACAAAAGAAGAGAAGCCTGAATCACTACTTACTCATATGGTTTCATATCCCATGAATTATTTTTCTCTGTTTCCTTGTCCCCACCAAAAATAGCAGACTCTCATTGTTGCCTAGTGAGTTTTGATGTTTTCTTAGCATAGCTAAGGTAACTTGGATTCCCAAATAAGTGTATAGGGTCCTGTTTCTCAAGACCCTCTTACATTGTCCAGAGGAGAGATTTTTTTCTTATCTTTTATGTGGATGGTATATAACTAGCTAGAGAGAATCCAAACTCAGGTCATGTGAGTGTGCGCCTATGAGTCTTGTCTATCAAGTTAAGAACTAGTTATGACAAGTGTTTGTTCTTTTGTTAACTCATCTTTTTTTCTCCACTCAACTTGATTTTGCATAACCTAATTCGGCTATCTCGAATTTGAATTATCTAACTTTTTATGGCAAAAAATGAAAAAGTTTTGCAATGTTGAATTTGAAATTAATTGTCAAAACCACTCAAAGTCAAGAATTTTTTCTGCCGCAATTGATGATTCCAAATCTCTAAAATAGGAAAATCATTATGAAGACACTAATTTTAGATGTAAGAGGTAAAAAGGCTGAAAAGTAAAAAAGAGAGAAAAACAAATAAATAATAAAAGATGTGATTCTGGACCTTGAATTATGCTCACGGTTGACACTAGTGAGAAGAATGTACCATAAGCCTATAAGTTTCATGGGGCATTGCTCAATTAATGATAGATATTATCATTTTCCACAAAGAAAAGAGAGAGAGGTGAATAAGGGGACATGAGAAAAGTGAATGTGAGATGTACCAGAAAATATATATTATTGTCCTCACTAAGAATAGAGTAGTGATGGGAACAGTGGTAAAGGGTTTATAGTTTCTTACCACAACAGGACCTTGACAAACCATGTATTTGCCAGGATTTTAATGATAAAACTTGATAAAATATTAGAGTTTTTTTTTTAATTTCAAAGTTGTATTTTATTTTTAAAATTTATTAGATAAATATTACATGAGAAAAAAATATTTATATCAGTGCAAAGCCTAATACTTTTATATTATTAAATAACTTTACATAAAATATAATTTTTATCTATTTATCTATTAATTTTAATCCTTAATATGATTTTTTATGTTACATCTTGCAATAAAAATAAAAATAAACAATCAAATACATCTAACATCGCATTCATTGAGGTATTTTTCTTTGGGAGCAAATGCCACACCGTGTGCAGGTGCAGTTCATTTTTTCACGATTAACAATTTTTTTTTTTGTCTAAATGTTATCTCGTTATTTTGTCATAAAAAATTATTTTAAAAGGTTCATATCAGTTGGAGTTCATAAATTTATTTAATGAAGATTTTTTTACTGCTTTGGATAATTTTATGCAGGTAAAATGTGTGTGTAAATAGATAAAGTGCCATTATGGTACTTAAATTTAAGAAAATATTATATACTCTTAAATTTCTCTAATATTTTATAGATTAAATAATATTTATGTTTTATTCAAATAAATCATTAACTTTATTATTTATATGCTTGTAAACTTTATCATAATAAAATATGTTTAATAGTTTTTAAAAAGTAAAAGATTGTGATATTAATAAATAGATTTATTTTTTAAAAATAGTTTTAAATTTTTAATAATTTTGATAATAAATCACTAATCTCTCTTAGTTTACAAGATTTTATAAAAATTACCGATATATAAATAACAATAATTGTTGCCCATATGCCAGTAGTTAATGGGAATGGTCCACTTAAAAATGGGCCTCTATTGGTAACCCAATGTGAATGCATTGTTGTTGGGCTGAGTAAATAACAGCCCAACAATGACAATTCATGCAATAAGATTCTATGAATAAGTTACATAATTTGTAAAAATTGAAGATAAATCCATTAAATGAATCCTTGGATCTTTAATCAAAATTAGAAAATAATTATCAGAGATTATATAGAAAAAAAAAAAACAATTTGGCAATGTTTTTGTACTTGTATTAATTGTTACACCATCAATCCCAATATTGAAAATTTTAAATTTTATTTCTTTCAAATTTAAATGATTTATGAGTTTTGATTTGCAGCAAAATTTAGGAGTCCTCTTATTTGATTTGTACATACACATTTATTAAAATTGACACCTGTTGTTAGCATTTGATTTGATCCAATAAATAATATAATAATTGAATAGTCTAATTTATTTTGTAGAAATCCAACATAGTATGATGAATCTCCAAATAAAAAGACATTCTATTGCATTATCTATGGTTCAAGATTGATATAAAAATGTATAAGATATAATCATTTTTGCACTATCATTTTATTTTTTCAAAATATTATTTCTTGGAGAGCACATTCTCTTGTCTTCATTGCTAATACAACAAAATACAGTATCTTTTAACAATCGATGACTTTGGCATTTTAAAATTTAAAAAGCAAAAGATTGTGATATTTTCGTCCAACTTTATTTGAAACCTATATACTTTTAAACTTATTTTTTAACTAATCTTGATTTATTAAGACGGAGATGCAACTAATTCTGAATACAGTATTAGCATAAAAACTATTTTTGAATCAACTATTAAGTAAAGTAAGAGCATTAATTAATGGATTAATAAATAATATTTTTATTATAAATTATATTAAAATACATTAAAAATATAAAACTATGTATTTTTAAGTTTTTAAAATTTTTTTAATCAGTGTCTTGAGTATATTAGTTTCCATTATCCTATTAATTACATATACATTGCAGGAAACAATGCCTCATCAATGCGAAACGCTTCCTCCAAAGGTTGTCTCTTTATTACAGGAAACAATGCTTCACCAATTCAAAGCGCTTTCTCCAAAAGTGGTACCTTTACTTTCTAGTTTGCATCCATTCAAACCTTTAAAAACGACCCAACATTTCCAATTAATAGCCATGTAAGTGATCAAACTCAACCGTATTAGTTTACCCAAAATAAAAATACAGTTCGTATATATGTGTATGGCCATGGCAAGTAACGTAAACATGTTCTCTTTCTTGCCAGAATCTCTTCTTATTGTTATTGTTTCATTCCTTCCCTTCAAAGAAGCGGCAAGAACATGCACTCTCTCCAAACGGTGGTTGAAGATATGGCAATCAACGAGGAACATAGAGTTCAATGAACTCTTCTTTGTGAAACTTGGTGAATCTGATGAAACCAAAGAGGGACAGAGAAGGGTTTTTCTCGACTTCATCACACACTTCATCGCAAACTACAAAGACAAGTTTGTGGACAAGTTCTCTCTCAAGGTTTCACACCCTCGAAGTTGTGATGACAGCATAAAACGTTGTGTTGCCTTTGCTACGCATCGGGGGGTGAGAGAGTTGAGACTTGATTTCTCTGATCCATCATGGGAAGAGAATGATTTTCAAAATCGTGATGCTTTGTTTCAGTTGCCAAATCATGTTTATAAGCACGAATCACTTGAGACTTTAAAGATGTATTCATGCGGTTTTGCTATGCCTGATTTGCTTAACTTTAAGGCCCTCAAGAATGTTTCTTTGGGTTGGATTGAAGTGAACATTTCCACTCTTAAGACTCTTTTGTCCACATGTAAGAAAATTGAAAACTTGAGTTTGAAGAAATGTTGGAATCTTGTGCACTTCGATATGGGTGAGGAAGAACTTGGGTTGAGAAGGTTGGTCATAGATAAGTGCAACTTTGTTGGCGATGATTATTTCGTTTTCAGGGCACCAAATCTTACGTTCCTTAAATATTCTGGGCTAATGGGAGTTTTTGAAATAGATGTACGCCCCTATGTTATGGAAGAAGCAGATATTGACTTCGCCTTAATGCCCCACTTTGAAGAATGTGGCGATTTACTTTGTAAACTACTGCATGATCTTAGCTCTGTTAGGGTCCTAACAGTTTGTAGTTTCTTACTTCAGGTACCCTTCATTTATTTTATAAATTTCCCTCCCTATTATTTAAACAAATTTCTATGGTTATAATGTTACAAATTATTAGAGATATATAGTTATTAATAAGTTAGATGGTTTAGCTAACTAGTTAATTAATTCATACTAGTATATATATATATATTAAGTTGATTATTTTCTTCTAATCATTTGTATTTTCTGATGCATGAAAAGGCTATTCCTTCTGGGGAAGAACCCGTGCGCATCCAATGTGATATGAATGTGAGACATTTGATTATGAAAACACAAATGCATCATTTTGAACTATGCGGATTCATGTTTCTTCTCAACAGTTGTGCTTTGTTGGAGAAGCTCACGTTAGAGATAGGCCAACGAAAAATATTTCGTGTAAGTCAATAAATTTTAATATATGTATCTTTCTCAGTGTTTATGCATATTAAAACGTGATTGGAACTTGTGTTAGCATGTTTTGGTTATTTACATGTTTTTTGTATTACTATTAATTTCAGGATTATAAACTTCCGTATCGCGTTAGCCTCAGGAGGTTCTGGGAACAAGATCTCATAGTTTTTGAATGCTTGAGAAGAACTCTAAAGGTAGTGGAGGTGAAGGGATTCAGAGGGATGCTGAATGAAATTCAAGCGTGCAGCTATTTGATTCAAGCTGGTAGTGTTTTAGAACAGGTCACTATCAATGTACTCAAAGATGAGAGTGATGGTTCTGAAAGAGTGGAAAAGCGCTATGCAAATGCAAAATATTTGCTCACTGTTCCAAAGGCTTCGGAAAACTTGCAGATATTGATTGCATGATATAGATGTAATGTAGCATGTATTATTTGATGCAAGCTCATAATATTAATATGCATGAAAGTGAATAACAATTGTTACTTATGATTTTGAAATATATGCATGCATAAGAAAATAATTCAACAATCGAAGTCTAAAACTTAAAAAATTTCAATTTTTAGAATTTTAATTTGTATTAAAATTTATTTTTAAAAACAAAAAACTATTTTCAAAACAGTAATCAAACATACTCAATATTTTAAGAGATAAAACTAAACATAGCTGAAAACTTTGAATTTCAGTAAACTTCTAACTAAAAATTTAATAAAATTAAAATTGTTTGACAAATTAACTATACAATTGATTAATTTGTATTAAATAATTTATAAAAGAATATGTAATATTAAACTTAATTATAATTTATTTTATTTATTTATAATTTTTATATAAAAAATATATTTTTAATATAAAATATATATTTGGATAGAAGAAATAAGAGAGCAAATGAAAAAATAAATAAAAATGAATAAAAATATTGAAAAGTAAAGAGAATAAAAGACAATAAAATTTACATAATTATATGAAGTTTTAACTGTGTAATGACTAAGTCGTCATCTTCAAACAAAATAAAAGTAAAAATGTGATAGAAATGTTGATAAATAATTTTTAAAAACTAAACTTAATTTTAACTCATTTTTTCAAAAGCTACAACTTTTTTTCATTTTATATTTTTTAAAAAAATCTACAAACTTACTGACCAAGTTATATTTATAGATTTTGTAGTAAAATAAATAGAATTTTCAAAATTAAAATTTTTGTAGGAAAAGAGACAGTAGGAAAGTTTGTCTAGGAATAAGAGGTGCTGCAAAATTTGTTGTAAAATCCAAACTAAAATTTCTGAAAGATCTTACTGATTAAACATCGGTTAAAAAATTAAAAATAATCTTTTATTAAAATAGGAGCATTAGTAATAATTTTAAACAAAAAATATAAATTTAATTTTTAACCAATATCTTAAAAATACTTAATAACATATATCATTTTTAAAAAATTAACAATTCAATTGATTGCAAAATTAAAGAAGTAACGATGAAGAAAAGAGACTATATTGTAAAATCGAAAAGATGCAGGATTAATAAATAAATTGAAAATATCATAAAGGGATTGTTTGGGAGATATTTTTTTAAAAAGAGAATGTCATTCTTTTAAAATTAAAAAATTATATAACGTTCATGATAATAACTAAATTAATTACTAAAACATTAAATTTTTGTTAATTTATTATTTATATTTTAATCTAGAAATGAAAATAAATTAAGATATGTTTATCTAAAATAAGAAAGAAAATATTTTCTCCCTCCTTTCCGAATTCTATCTTTCCAAACATCTTCACGAGCGTTTGAACCAACTTTCTAGTACTAGATAGCACCTTTTATTAGCAGATCACCACGAGGGGACGCTCCATTACTCATATAACACATTTAATTCGGTTGAATTATTAATGCATACTCAGTTGTCAAAGAAGATATTTGGATATTAAAAAAACTAGAGAGACATTAAACGCAAAATTTGGATATGCCTTCACCTAAAAGGCAAGAAATATCGACATCAAAGGCTACAAATATAAAGGCAACAACAAATACAAATAAGAAGCTTCAAAACTAATAGGGGGGCAAAAAAGAAAGAAAAATACATGACTCAATTTGACTGAGTTTAATAATCAAGATGCTTTCTTGCGAGCAAATCGCTGTAAAGATTTCGGTAGTTCAACACCCTCACTAGTTTTTTGCTTCTTTCTCGATATGTTTTCCTCTTCTTGAATTTTCTGCTCCAAGTAGGGCCTCTTCACTCTAGCAACTGCATCTTGCTTTTTCTGTACCCTTTTACCTGACTTGTTTCTTCCTTTCGTTTTCTTCTTCAGTTTTATACCCTTAGCAGCTTCAACGGCAGCTTCCATCTCATCCTCCCTCTGTTGATTTGTTGACTGGTCTTTTCTTGTTGGTTTCACCGTACCAATCTTGCTGGGATCAAGCATGATAGTCTCGGGTGGAAGTTTATCAAGAAGAGACCGTATTTCCTTTTCTCTCCTCTGTTTAGATGTTTCAAATGGGTTTGCAACCCATGAGTCGAAGTTGGGTTCTCCTGCTCCTGGAATAAGAATACTAGACCAACCCATTGAATGCCCTATGCCAAGAACATCTTCATATGGTCGAAATACTAATTTTCCTATCTGGTAACCCTTCACCATCGAATGAGTCATATACTTGGAATAATTCTGTGTTCCAGAATCATCACGCAGAACCTGGATATATGAACCATTACCACAAGCAAGCAAGCCTTTTTGACTAAAATCCAAAGTATTTGCATGACCTGGTAATGTTTGAAGAACTTCAAATTTCCTCAAGTCCCAAAGCTTAATTTTTTTATCTTTCCCGGCAGTGGCCATTAAGGTGCCATTTGAGTGAAATGCCAACGCCGAGACAGATCCATGATGACATAGCATCTTAACAAGAGGAGAAGAGCTGGTTGGCTTCCACATAGTAACTGTACCACTCGAATGACCTAAAGAAACAACCCCATTGAAGGGGTTCACTTGCATCACATTTGTACATCCTAAGCCAGTTCGAAAATTACCAACCATGGTACCCATTGTAACATCCTGATAACGAAGCTGTCCAAATTTGTTGATTGAAGCCAAGAGAAAATGGTTTTTCAGAAACTGAAGCCTTAACACTGGACCATGTTCCTGGAAAAAAGGAAACAACTCAACCCCATAAATACGCACCCTATATGAAAAGTTTCATAAGATGATGAAAAAGTAACCATTTTAGCTATTTTGAGGCATTTAAGAAGCAAAGCTAATGCAAAATAGAACAAACATATACTTAGTTCCACTAACCAAGCTTATATTCAGCATGATTGCACAATTACCTACCCTATACACTAACCAAGCTTCCAGAATAGATGGAGGTGTGCAAATTAGGACTAGTTACTATTTGAAGCAGAACTGAATAGGTATTGGATCCACATGACATAATCAGATTCGTGGATAAGAATAGAGTTTAATAAACATTCAAATGAAAGGCGATAAGAAAGCAAAATATCAACCATATAACATCATATATTTAAAATTCAAGCATATCATAATGATTGGTTCATCTCTAAAAGAGAAATACTTAGATATTGCAAAAGCAATATACCGACCTTGAGGCAGTGAAGCTCTATGCCTTCTCGATTATAGATGTACGGATACCTGTCAAATTTTATATTCTAGTCAGATGAATCAGAGTATGTCTTAAAATACAGCAAACTAGATAAAATATTTTTATGGGGGAAAAAAATCCTAATCAGCTTTTCCAAATGACAGGAAATTATCAGCTCACAAATAATGTCACAAGATTATATGGATTAAGCTCATTGTGCTACCACAAAATAAGATAGAGATAAGTGAAAATTGTAAAGATTTTTAAAGCATTTAAGTCTTTTAATGTCATTTTAAAGTAATACACAGGAAGCACATGGAATTATGCAAGGAAACATAAAAACAACAGCATTAGGAAAACTGAGCTTAAAACATCATTTAATCTTCAAAGGGAAAAAAAAAATTAAATCCTAACATGATCCCAATTACCTATGGTGTTTTAGCAAAGTCACATACAATTGATAAATATCAACAATTATGAATAACAAGTGGAGGGTAGTGTGTCGCACAAATGGACGTGTCCCCCAACCCAAATTTTTTCTGCTAAATTTTATCATGTTTTTTATTTTTTTTTTAACTTCTGAACAGCCCCACCTCAAGTCACTTATTTTTCCATCTAGACTTTAGAGGTGCTTTCATTGCAACTGTAGATTAATTATACACGGAATTAAAATAATTACAAATTAAACAGCTGAATACTGAATCAAGGAAGAAAATTACTTTTTCTGGGCAGCAGCAAAAAAGAGCTCATTGTGCAAGAATGCCACATCACGCACTGTTTCTCTTACCTGAAAAAAGCAAAAATAATTTTCTATTAAGTAAATTGTGTTTTTTCAAAGCTAAAACAAATGTATCCTTAAAGTTTTATTCGGTCAAGTAAAAAGAATACTTCAAAGTTACTCTCCAGAGCCAAATTCAGCACTATATGATGCCATCTAAAGATGCCATAACGAATAACCTCATCATTTGAGAAGAAAAATTGAACAATTTTTATAACCAAAAAAATTATATTAGTTAGTAAAATCACCCAACGCAGACTCAACTAGGACTGAGCATACCTGAAACTCTCTGATTAGGCTCAGATTTATCATGTCCACAATTCCCAGATGGCCCTTACGACCACCAACAGCCATATACCGGCCACTTGAAGTAAAATCCAGAGTGTATGGACCAAGTTCTGCAAATAGGGATTGTAAAGAAAAACAATAAATAGTAGATCAAGAAAATAACAGAGCTGTTTCCACTCAAGAAAGATTCTTTGCAACTGTGCATCATTATTGTGAGGAATGAAGTATAATAAATAAGGACAGCCAAATCAAACTTGTTCATAGCTGTTACAAGGACAAGGCAAAAAGAAAGGAATATTATTTTTATAAAAGAATTAAAACAAGAACTATATCAGGTAGACGTGTCCTGCAATACTATTAACTATACACCAAGTAATCATCTTAAATCGTAATAATTAATATAAAAATAAAATGCAAGACAATCAGGGAGTAAAAATCTCTTAAATGGGGACTTATCAGTAACAGGAGCCATGATTTAAGAACAAAGAACTTATAGAGAACATCATTTGCTATCTTTAAAAATACACAAGCTATTATGTACAAGTTAGATTTGCTTTCAATTGTTATGCACTTGAACTGGTTGTAGGTTTATCTCACCTCTAGATCAATGGTTTGGCTTTGCAGCCAAATAACTCCATATTCCATTATATGAGAACACACACAAAAAAAAAAAAAATAAAATAAAATAAAATAAAATAAAAAATTTCCATATCATGCCCAACAATTCATGAAGTTAATGAACAAGTTACATTTGCTTCTTTCAACATGTACTTAATTTCATCATAATAGGTTTATCTGACCTCTAGCACAAGGTTAAATTCATTGGATTTTCCAAAACATGAGAATAGAAAAAGAAAATAAACTACATAAATCATGCTTCTTATATCAAACCCCAATAATTATAATGTTATTGAACTATATGTAAATATACCCATTAAATAACTTCAAGGAAAAATCAGCATGTCAAGACTAAATATGGGTGGTAGATTACAAGTTCCTTGCAGCACAGTGAACAATGTTTTATTTCTCATAACTAGATAAAATCCCAATAGAATATAACTTTTTTTTTAAAAGAAATCAGACTCCAGAAATCTACCCCTTCACAGCAAAAACAGTCAAACACCCCACAGAGACCAATTCAAACACAAAAAACCATAAGATATTATTAGATCATAAGATTTTACATTCTTGACTGCAAACAGAAAACTTTGTATTCCTCCGCTCAATCACACAGAACAAGAAAAGATCACATACGCAATTGGTAAAAGTGCCACCAATAAGTGATGATGAAAAATTAGGGAATATACTCTAATTCAACTTCTACTTATCCTCAATACTACATTTTTTTAACAGGTACATCAAACAATTTCTATTTTCATGATTTAACAATGCATGAGTAGGTGCGTGCTACATAAAATCAGGGGGGAAGTTGAAAAGAAAAAAAAAAACATCAAAACCAAAATATTCAAAACTTAAAATGAATAAGTCATTACTAACGTTAGAAGCTATAACAGAGACATAAACCTAACTTAGCCTAAGATACTAATAACAAGCAATGCATTAATAATACCTGGTAAAACAATATCATATTGCTTCCTAGAGCTTAAGATATCTACTTCACGAGCAATTGCCTCCTGCTTAATCCTCCATGTCTTCTCTATTCCTTCAGTCTCCAGATAACCTCCCTCACTAGGCATAAGCCACTGTGTAATTGAAATTAGAAAGGCAAACATACCACATTAATATTTTTTCATAGGGCTTATACTGTCATCCACATCCACGCACAAACATTAGAATAACTCACTTACACATCATGTGTAAAAAAATATAAAACAAAAGAGTATTTCAATCATTAACCTTCTCAGCCTTGGCAGCAGCTTTTGCAGATTTTCCATATAATTCTTCTTTAACAGCTAGTTGACTCTTCAGCTTTTTATCCTTCAAAACCTGCAAATTATAGTTTACAAATTAAGATTAAAAGGTTACACTATCAAGTACCAACGTCTTGATTCCATTAAGCTCAACTCAATGCTTTATTACCTCCAAATTAGCAACTTCCCCTCTGAGATACTTCTTTATTCTCAGGTCTAGCTCATCAGTAATGTCCTGCAAAGAAATATAGCAAATTGAGAATCAAAAACTCAAAAATACCGCGCACAGAACCAAACATTCAGCATAGCCCATGTTTAAAGGAATGTCAAAATACGATTATGACAATCACCAATTTGACGGAAACAAGTATAATTCCTAATTCTGAAGCGTGAGTCCGAAAAATGTAATAAATAAGTTCAACCAGATCCAAAGCATACCTCACTTTCTGTTCCGTTTTCATTTATCAAAGAAATCCAATGAGAGGGAAAATGACAGTAACATGTATTCAATAAATTTACTAATCACAACTACTAATTAATCGTGGCTTAAAGTACAAACATAGAAACGCAAGTTGAATGAAGCATTGATGAGTTACAATTTATAAAACTCGTTGAGGAAGTACCTGTTCAGTGGAAGGCTTGTTCTTTGGAAGAGCGTCGTTCTCTTGAATCTCACCCATCTTGTCTAGAGACGCGGCTTCAATCTCTTTTGACGACGGAGTTGGCGGCGGCGTGCCGGAGAAAGAGAGAGCGAGAAACGGCGTCGCTGGGTTAAAGGGTTTTGTTTGGGGTTTAGAACGATGTCGGTCTCTGCACTCTGCCTGTATGTAACTCCTAATTCCTAATTATTTATGCCCAACCTTTTTTATGGATTAATTTTTGAAGTGTGTAATGTTATAATTTTAAACCTCTTAAATTATATTTTTTTTACTAAGTTTCTTTATATAATTTTCCTGTACATGATAATTTTTTATTAAAAATTATAGTATATAATAAAATTTAATATATTAATAATATTAAAAGTTATAAATTTTAATAAAATATTATTACTTTTTTTTATGGTGAAACATTATGCGTACATTAAAATTATTTTTAAACTTTTAAGACTAATCTTTGGTGCAACATTTGTGGATAATTGTGTATGTACCGTTTATGTTAATTTTAGTACGGTAAATAAAAATAATATATAAAACATTAAATAAAAGTTGAATTAAAATGTTTTTTAAATAAAGATATACCGTATAATTATTTTAATTTTATAAATTTACAAATATTTTAATTAATAATAACAACTATTTTTCTAAATTAAGTAAGATTAAAATAAAGAGATAGAGTTTTTAAAATTAAAAATTCTCAAAAAAAAAATTTTTTTTCTTAAACTCCACTCAAGTTTTCTTATTAATTAATCTACGTCTTCTATGATAACAATAATTTTTAAAAAATAATTGATACATAAAAAAATATTTATTAAGATCAATAAAAATTAATCTCTCACTCTTACACATATATTTATATAAAAACTCATTCCTTATTTTTAATTAAAAATATTTTGTTTATTTCTTATAAATACCCCAAAAAAAATTACCAAAAATGATATTTGATGACAGTAAACAATTGTGTTTGTTAGTAATATTGTCATCCTTTTATCTCATCTTATCCATGTTATTAAATGGGGCTCCAAGTACTAGTCATTAAACTTCAATTATAATAAACTTTTTTTTTAATTTGATTTAATAATCAAATTATTTTCATGCTATGTATAAAAACAATGTAATAGACTCAACCGATCCAAACAAACCTGATCCAACGTTGATGTGTGTAAACTTGTTTTATTGTCACCATACGGCACATTGCAACGCCCTCGCGCTAATGCCGCGGAATCTTCAAACGAATATTTCTCAAGTATTGGACCCATCTCCCCCCATTGAACAAATCACTTCAAAACTTTCAACCCAATAAGATAATAATTTGACTTTATTTTTTTATTTGCTTTCTATAAATATCCCCCGCATAATCGACATAGAACCCTAAAATCATAATCACACAAAGGTTATACCTTGTTTCATTAATTAATTAAATAAAACAACAAGGCAAAGCTTCTTTCCCACTTTCTATTCTCTTTGACTTTGCATTATTTTTTCACAGACCCTCCGTTATTTGTATTTGAAATCGCTGCAGAATCGAACTCAGCGATCTCATTAGATCTTCATTTGTTGCACCCCAGTTGGAAAAGAATCGAACTTTGGATTTAGGTTTCCGATTTTCGAACACTGTCGATGGAGAACGATGTAGGGTCACCGCAGGGTCCGGTCGCGTGCGGGTCGTGGATTCGGAGGCCCGAGAACGTTAACTTGGTGGTGTTGGGAAGGTCCAGACGTGGCAATTCTTGTCCTTCTCTGCTCCAGATTTTCTCCTTCGATCCAAAGATTACTACTTTGTCCACCTCTCCTCTGGTATTGCTCTAATTCTCTGCATATACACGTGTGTGTTCTGTGTTTATGCATGTGTATATGTGTATGGGTAGAGTGAGTGACCCGTTTGAAATATTAATCTGTTTTGTCCATACCCTTTTAAACTGTTGTTTTTGTGTGTGAAGAGTCGGTGGAGTGAGTGTTTTTAGTGTTTTTTGATTCGGGGTTGCTGAATGGAAGCAAAGTTTGGATGGGGCTTTGACTTTTAGTTCTAATTAGCATTTTGTTTGATTGATATTTCAGGCCACACATGTGTTGGAAGCAGAGGAAGGTGATCCTATTGCTGTGGCAGTGCACCCTAGTGGGGATGATATTGTCTGCTCTTTCAGCAATGGTAGCTGCAAGTAAGCTTCTTTTATAAGAGATTTGAGAATGAAACTTCCATGGAGAATTACTTTCATAATTTGTCTCAACTTGCATTTCTAAATTTAGCATTAGCAGTTACTGCTTCTTTCAATAATCTCAGAATCAGAAGTCCAACATATTATCTTCCTTTAACTATTCAAAGGACATCATAAAACTGTTGGTTCAGTTCTACCAAATTTGTTTCTAACAGTTTCTCGTTCCTTTTCTTTTTCTGGGAACTAGGGTAATGTATGAAACAATAGTTATTGCTGTTTCTTATGCGTAGCTAGCTAAATTTTGCCTGGAGTTATCATTTTGTGGTCTATGTTCTCCTTGAAAACTATGTTAAGATCCCACATAAGCATATGCCAAAGTACTCTTTATAATGAATTTGGCAATCCTCTTTACTTGGGTTAGCTTTTGGGGTTGAGTTAGACCCATTTTATTCTCAATTCTAATAGGGTATCACATTCATGTCTAGTCTTGCAAACTTCATGCTCTAGATGTCTAAGTGTGAGATCCTCCCACCGTTCTGAATTCTAATAGATACTGAACTAACCATACATATATTAAAGTATTTTTCCATGTCTTGTAGATCATTTGAGCTGTATGGTCGTGAAACAAACATGAAGTTGTTGCCTAAGGAACTGGCCCCTCTACAGGGTATTGGTCCTCAGAAATGCATTACTTTTAGTGTTGACGGATCTAAATTTGCTGCTGGTGGGTTGGTAAGCATCACTCTATAATCCAACCAATTGCTTTTATCTTTTGACTAGCACTTTGAGTTTTCCTTGTTGAGTTTGGTCCTGTGTGTTTAACTTTCATCTTTTTAACAAGTGTAGGATGGATATCTCAGAATTATGGAGTGGCCTAGTATGCGCATGATTTTGGATGAACCAAGAGCACACAAATCTATGCGAGATATGGATTTTAGGTCGGTATAATTAACAAATGTCTTTCAATCCTGCTAAAAGATGCATTAAATCATGCAGCTAGTAGAATTGTAATAACCCGATATTGCTACCAGATATGATAATTTTGCTTTGTGTGTTCATTCCTGCAATAACCCGACTGTGTAGATGTGACCTTTTAGACAATAAAAGTATGTTACATAGTAAATATCTTTCTCAAACTTTGATGACATTGATACTTACTATATTTTCCTTCATTTTGTGTCATACTTCAGTCTAGACTCAGAATTTCTAGCTTCAACTTCTACTGATGGTTCAGCTAGAATATGGAAGGTTGAAGATGGTGTTCCTTTGACTACTTTGTCCCGCAACTCGGTATAGCATTTTGATTTAAGAACCTGTTGGCAATATCTGCACAGTTTCTTGTACCGCTTAATCCAAAATATTTCCTTTTGTTCTTCAGGATGAAAAGATTGAATTATGTCGATTTTCCAAGGATGGAACAAAACCATTTTTATTTTGCTCTGTCCAAAAAGGTACATGAGTACCTTGTTTCAAGTATTCCGTAGTATTAATTTGTATATATTCTTCAAATCTTTGATCAACAATGCATGACCTTTATTATGGATACTTCTATCTTTGAGCAGGTGATAATTCTGTCACTGCTGTTTGGGATATCAGCACATGGAACAAAATAGGGCACAAGAAGTTGATTAGAAAGTCTGCCACAGTAATGTCCATTAGCCCTGATGGAAAATACCTTTCTCTGTAAGAATCTTCTTTACCCTCTGACTTTTGGGCTTATGCATTGTCAACATTCTTTATCTTTTGTTATGCAGATAGTTTTCTGTGACTATAGTAAGTGAATGATTCATAATTTTGTTTCTTTTGTTTTGTCCTATAGAATTTCTATTCAATTGCCTTCTATTTTGCTCAGCAGTCAGCACTCTGCATGCTAGAAGGAATGCTTGTTTGCTCCTCTCCTCCCCCCTTTTATGCAGTATCTGCTGTAGGAAGGCAAATATCCCAATCTAGAAGAATAGAAAAGATTCAAACAGGCTGAAATTGCATTTTTTAATAGTAATTAAATTTAGCACAAAAAATTTAAATTTTTTTTTTAAATTGAAATGTTCTCATACTATAAAGGTATCAAATTTCATTGCATACTCCTCCTTATGTTATAAAATCAGCCACTTTCTTAATTGGTAGAGAACATTTTGTCTATATCTGTATTTAAATCACTTGGATAACAAAGTGGAATTGTGATTTTGGCCATGTTACCTAAACTATGAAGGAATGAAGAAGAAAGTTTTAGAATTGATCATGATTCTCCATCTTATTAATTTGTCTCTTTCTGATCTATAGCACTACATATATGTTTATCTTGAAGTAATTCCCTCTTAGAGTGTCTTCTATTGTGAAATCTTTTTTGACCCTTGCACTTATAAATCATCTGGGCCTTAGAGACTCCAAATCATTCTTTCTGCCTAATTGCTGAGTACTGTAGCTTTTGTATTCTTTCCCATTTTCTGAACTGCTTGTTGTTCTACCTTGTCATGTTAATTTCTAATGTTTATCCGATTCAATTAACTTTCATATTTGGGATTTGCATTTGTGTTTACCGCATAAAAAACTGTTGAAGGGTTGATCGCCAACAAATTAACTACTTAAAAAATCATTATTTCATTTTTTTTTTAAATTGTCCGTCAGCGTGATCATATTTCCTTTCACAATCCTAATCACCTTTCAAAACTCATACCTTAATTGGTTTCCCTGGAAGATGCATTACCATAAATGACATATCTTATTCTGATTTTATAATTTACTTAATTTTTGCTTTCATTTAAGTAGTTGTTTGGGCACTAGAGTCAATTCCTTACAGCCTTAGTCATTCTTTCTTTCTTATTTTGTTTATTTAATTTTTGGGTGGTGTGGGTGTTACAAGAAGGGTAAGTGATTATTTGTTTTTAAAATTATGAAAATAATGTTTATATTTTGTGGTGAAGTAACTATAGCACACTTGTAAACCACATTAGATGAGTTCGAGTTATGTCAGCAATAAAATTACATAATTGGATTAAAAAATTTGAAGGCCTGTAACATTGTGATGTGAATGGCACTTCACCTGTAAAGCACATTATAGTTGGAATGTATCTCCAGCATTTCTTCATCTCACCGCACTTCCCAGGGGCAGTAAAGATGGAGACATATGTGTAGTTGAAGTAAAGAAAATGCAAATACATCATTATAGCAAGAGACTACACCTGGGTACAAATATTGCATCACTCGAATTCTGCCCCAGTGAAAGGTAATCTATATGCTCTATTGGTTAAATTTGGCTCCTCTGATAAATATTAATATATGTAGGACTGATTAAGTTGCTGAAACTTCCTTGGGTTTGAATATTGGACTCAGAGTAGGTATTCATTTGAATAATGAAACGTGTACTGGATTATGTATACTTTGAGAAAATTGTTGAAACCTTCTTTTTACTTTTTTTTTTCGGGTATAAAACTAAGAATTTATGTATTGGATGAGTTCTTTCCCATCAGATCATTAGCCAGACTAAATGTGCATTTTTGAAACTGAACCTTGGGGTCAGGGAACCAATCTGACCTCAGATAGCCTTTCAGACTTAAAGTCTAATTGGATTATCAGAGGCAGTAATTTAGAGGGGGAAAATCAATCAATTAGTGTAATAAAATCATTCTTTTGTCTTGGCTATTCACCTTGCCCTTCATTGTTTTTGTGCAGGGTTGTACTTACAACCTCACTAGAATGGGGAGCACTGGTCACTAAACTGACTGTACCTAAAGATTGGAAAGGTTCTCTTTCTCTCTCTCTCTCTCTCTCTCTCTCACACACACACACACACACATGCACATGCACTCCTTCCTTTTGAAGCTGTACAACAAATGTGTATTTAATTTGACATTTTAAATATCCTTTCAAACCTGCAGATTGGCAGATCTATTTGGTGCTTTTGGGACTATTTTTAGCATCAATTGTTGCATTTTACATATTCTTTGAGAACTCTGATTCATTCTGGAACTTTCCCATGGGAAAAGATCAACCAGCAAGACCAAGGTTTAAACCAATGATAAGAGATCCCCAGTCTTATGATGATCAAAATAGTTGGGGACCTGTAGATATGTGATGACATTGATATTATTATTTTGATTTAGTCTTCAATGCTATTGGATGCAGCATCTGTAGCTGTAAGTGGTATCAACATTTATTTAAGCATTTGTAGATTTAGGAAGTTTACTGGTATTTACAAGCATTTACTTTTTAATTTTTTGGGTAAAATTTTTGAACCTAAAGGCCATTATTGAAATGTAATTTTAGTAGAAAGTTTAGGAATAATCAAATAACTTCCTGAAATTTACATTTTGCACGTGAGATGGCTTTGTAACTGTGTGGTGGGATTTATTAGAGAGGCACATCTCTGGATATATTTCCATTTTCCTTATTTTTATTTCTGGTTTTAATTGATTTATTAGCACTTCCGTTTGTTTTACTAATTTGTATGTATAATTTGTGAATATAAACTCTTAAATGAGAACATTTTATGAACTTTTTCAAATAAAAATATTTTTAAAAGTTGGATTTCTTTCATAATGTTAGTTATTTATTATGTCAAGTATTTTTTTTTAATACAAAAATTGTTTTAAATTTATTTTAAATTTAAAAGGTATTTAATTTAATAGAATATATTTCTTCTAATAGTTATAACATTTACTCTTTTTAAATTTTATAGATTATATTAGATTTTAACATAATCATATTATATTTTTAAATATTTATTTATATTTAATCTTAATAATATCTGTAGAATGTTAAAAAAATCCCTAATATTACAAAATAAATGAAGTTTTAGTTTCTAAAATATTTTCAATTTTTTTTATTTAATATCTCATTTTAAATTATTTTTAAACAAGTTTTTTTAAAATTATTTTTATCGTACATATCTTTCTCTATTAATTATTTTTATATAAACTTACATAATATTTAATTTTAACTATAAATTAATATAAATGATATGACATGTTACTTTTATTTATTTTTTTATATTTTCAAAATTTAATTTCAAGGTTTAATTTTATAAATTAAATTTTTATTTAGAAATTACGAAAAAAAACATGATATCATTAATAACACTATTTTTTATTCATATTATATCTTAATCAAATTATGAGTCAAGTCAAGTGACATGTAAATAAATAATAAAAATTTAACAAATCACTAATAAAAATATCAAATATAAAATAACTTTTTAAATTAGATTAAACAAAATTAAAAAAATGCACTGAAACCAAGATCAAGAAGTTAATCCGAATTTCTTGATGTTGCTATATATATAATGAAGGAATAAACGCAAAGCTGTGCTTCTTGTGTTGCTTTCAAATTTACATAAGCATCATTTTCTCTGTACAGCAAACAGGATTAAGATATTTATGTCGTTTGTCAATTATGTTTGATTCCACTCTTTTTCTTTGTGTGTGTTGATAATATGGGTGAGTATTGAAGAGCATTATATCATAACTTTTAAACTGAAATAAAAAAATATATATGTATATAAATTTAAAAACATTTAAAATTATATACAAAACCACTTACAAAAAACCTAAGTAAGATTTTTAAAGAATGATTAATAAAGAAAAAAATATATAATAGTATCATTGCCTTGAGATAGATGAGTTGTCTTTAACTAACTTCATCCATTAAAAATATAAAAGTATCACAATTGAAAACTTAAGATTTTTTTTATGCATATTTGTTCATAACTAGTCGTGCAAATAAACTTTGTTTAACTAAAACCAAAACACCTCGGAACCGCACATAAAATTTGTTCAAGTTAATAATCCACACAACCCAGCAACTCAAACCGTCAACAAATATACAGTATTTTATTTTATTGCTTGAAAGATTTTCAAGAAAGCAATAGAGTCTTGGCTTGACTGCTAGCTCTGGAAAATACTGGCGATCCAAGAAAGCGAAAAAGGTGGTTGTCTTTTTGTGGTGGTTTTGATTCTATACAATCTACATATATAAATAAATAAGTGAGAAGAGTAAAATATCGAACCCAGTGAAGTGGAAGAAGAAAATATCATGAATTGTCTTCACAATCTTCCTCGGTTCGTTAATCCTTCTTGCTTTTCCATTCTCTTTCTCTGTTCCTTCTAATCGAATGAGATTCCCTCCCTTTTCAGATTCTCTGTTTCGCCCTTTCAAACAGTTGCTACGCGCTACCACAAGAACCTTCCTCTTTCTCTGGTACACTATCTCCATTTTCCCTCTGTTTGCGTTAATCCCTAATTCCTATCTACGATAATAACACCTTTTCTCTTTTTCCAATACAGAGGATCGTTAATAGTTCTTTTCAAGATCGAAATATGGCACTTAAGGTAAACTATAAGCTTTACTTTTGTGTTAATTTGTTCTCTTAACGATGGTTTTGTTAGTTCTGTGATATTTTTTATGTTATCGTTTGAAGTTCGATAATGTCAGTTAACCTGATTATAGAAATTGGACTTTGGTTGCTTAATCAGCTTTTTTCTGGAGAATAAAGTCATTACACTATGAGCTGGGACGATTAGAATATGTGTATGTGGAAATGGAATGTTCATGGCATATTCTGTAATCTGCAAATGTTAATACAACAAATAGAAATAACCATAGAGCTAAGGAATTCAAACATAAAAAATAAGGAACATCATTTGTTTTTATGCCCTCTGCTGTGACAAATATTTATCTTCTCTTAGGTTTGACTGATGAATATGTAAGTGGACATATTGGGATCCACTATTTGTGTTGTTACTTGTTTCTTGTTCATATTTCTTGTGTTTTCTAGATAATATGATTGGCATTTTCTGTTGCAGTCTGTTTCAGGTTCTACACCGAGTGCAGAGACAAGTAGTGCAGATATGGAGGAAGAAAAGTCAGAGATATATAGTCACAACATGACAGAAGCCATGGGTGCTGGTATGTTACTATTTTGTGGTTCTAGTTCAACAATAACCAGGCCTTGTCCTGCTAGATAGGGTTGGGATACGTTGATCAAACAACATTGTTGGGCCTTAACAGAAACCAAAAATTTCAATATACCTCCATATAGAGCAACGTCTTTTATAATTGTTTCTCCTAAGTTTTCATCAGTGTTCCTTTGCCTCTTTGAATCAGACTATCTTCCAATTGATCTTCTTTTCTCGTTTCTCTTGCTCTTCTACTTTGTGGTTCTGGTTTGAACAAGTATAAAACTTGAAGACAATTTGGGGGAAATCAAAAGTATCTTTTGCCTGAAGCTCCATATTAAATTGTTTTTTTGGTAAACTGTGATGATATATTTCAAATTATGGTAAACGGCCTTATTTTTGTAATATGTGTATTCAGCAAGTAGTTTGGAACTTTGATTATCTAGAGGATTGCTCATCTCATGAGCATGCTTGTTCTATTCTTTTGTTGTTTGAATGTTTAATGTTGTTAACCCTTTCTAAAATTGTACTGCACAGTTTTGACTTATAGGCATGAACTAGGAATGAACTACAACTTCATCCGTCCAGACTTGATTGTGGGATCATGTCTACAGGTACTTTTGTTTCAGTGATGGATACCTGATCCATTTCTGTCAAATCTAGTTTGGTCCTCTGAGTACTCTTTTTTTAATCTCAAATTGCCAGACTCCTGAAGATGTTGACAAGCTGCGTAGAATTGGAGTGAAAACTATATTTTGCTTGCAACAAGATCCAGACCTTGAGTATCCTAATGAGTTTGTTTAATAAGATTCACTTCAGCATTTGAGACATATGGCACACATTTAATCTAGCAAACAAACCGTTGGTTTCCTTACAACTACTTAGATATTTTGGAGTTGATATTAATGCCATACGAGAATATGCCAACAAATGCAATGACATGCAACACTTGCGTGCTGAGATAAGGTTAGTTATGACATGAAATTTTTATATCATAATTGTTGAAGAAATTGTTGATTAAAATGGGAAGGGGCAAGAACAAGAAGGTTCTGAATACTAATGGGTTGAAAACCTCGTTAATTTTAATATATTATAAAGATATTCTAAAGGGTAAAATATGCTTTTGATCCCCATTTGGTTTTAGCCCCTCATATTTTTTTCATTGTCATCCCTTCAATATCTAAAATGCTCAGTTACTCTCTTTGAGGTTTTGCGCTAGGCAGTGGGATTTTTGTTGGCACATATAAGACCACATGTGAAAGGGTAACTAGGAGTCCAATTTGGGCTCCTCCAAAATGTTCTCCCAGGGTTCCTCTCACTCTTCAATGTCAGCTAAATCAATTAGTCTCTCTAATTTTGTTTTATTGTGATCCCTTCAATACCTAAAATGCTCAGTTAGTCATTTCCCATTAATTTTCTCCATTAAATGCTTGTCTTGTTGAACAGGTATCCATCTAATCTAAGCTTTCACTTGTCACTCACTAATACACAGATTGAAATTTTATAAATAAGCATGTTATTTGCCGTTCAAGTGAGTTTCTCTTATTCCACCACTCTCCTCCATTCCCAAACATGAAGAGGTTCTTGCTGTAGGTTAAATGTGGCCTGTGGCCTGTGTGGACAATTTAATTTTGCTGACATTGGAGAGTAATAAACACCAGGAGAACGTTTTGGAGGTGCCCAAACTGCCCAAAATGGATCCCGAATTACCAGCACCTGGTGCAAAATCTCAGAGGGACTAAAGCCAAATCTCATTGATTTTGCAGGAAGAACATTTTACTCTATTCTAAAACATTATAAGGCGTAAAAATATATTATGAGATACCTTGTAGATATTAATAATAACCTTATGAGGAAACCGTAACTCAAATTGAACAGAATTATTGCTGTCAAGTATTAATGTCAAGTTATGTGTGTGTGAGCCAAAAACTCATGCAATTAGGATGATTCTTTGTGTTTTTTTCTTTTTTTTTTTGGGGGGGGGGGGGGTGTTTAAGACTAGTTGGTAATATCACCTTATTGTAATTCCTAATTTCCCAATACATAGGGGTAAATTTTAGTCATTTCTGCTTTACATCTGTGTTGTAATTTTGTGTAACTACTAGCATTTCTATGTTTACTCACGTTATATATGTGTAACTAAACATGGGTATCATCTGCATTACACTTTCTTTTTGCAACAGGGACTTTGATCCATTTGATTTACGGATGCGGCTTCCTGCTGTAGTTAGCAAATTATACAAGGCAATAAATTCCAATGGAGGTGTGACATATATTCATTGCACTGCTGGACTTGGAAGAGCTCCTGCTGTTGCTGTATGTCTCTTGATTTCATTTATGTGATACATGTTACTCGCAGAATATTTAACCTGAAATGTTTTGGGTTAGTTCTGGGTATGTTAAAGGGAATCATCTTAATCATTTTTTATGTGAAAGAAATGCCTCTTAATCACATGCTGAATGGTTTTGGGCCTTTTGGCAGGTTTTTACTTAAATATTTTGATGTGAAAGAAACGTCTCTTAATAATTTTTAATGCTGAAACTTTTTATTATCATAGCTCAGTTTAATTTTCAAACAGGGCAGTTCACTCTTGATATAGTGCTATAGTAGGGTTGTTGCCTTGTGATGGTGGTTATGGGTTCCAGTTATAGAAACAGACTGCTCTCTCATGATTAAGGTTAGGTGCATCTGACCTTCCCCAGACCTCACTATAGCAGGAGCCTGACGGGTGGGCCTCCCTTTATTGTCTATCCTTTTTGCTTGGGACTACTAGAATCATTTGTGTGGAGATCACTTGGCCACATGCCATCTGGTTGTATTCACACCTAATTTCATCTATAGATGTTTGCTGAAGCTAGCCTTGCTTTTAAGAGAGAAAGGGTAGAAAAGAAGTTCTAAAATTGATATTTTCTTTTTTAATCAACAAAGAAGTCTAAACATAAAATGTGAGCTCTGTGGAGTTTTTGCTCATTATTAATGTACATCTTAGAACTTCATAATTATATTGATCAATAGAAAAAATTAAAAAACAGATACACAATAATGTTTTAACCAAATCAATTGAAACTACCATGAAGATAGAGATGAAAGCGGTAGTGGTATCTATTTTTCTATTTTTCAAACACATTGGCAATTCATGCATTGTCGTTTATCTGTTTTGCTACAATGGTTATTCACTAACAGTTTGTTTTGACTCAGTTGGCATATATGTTTTGGGTACTGGGTTACAAATTTAATGAGGCTAATACACTACTTCAGGTAACTGGTCAATATTCGTGTTTTATTATTTTGCTTTTTAAATGCACTGGGGTTCTTGGTAGATATTACACTGCTTGGTTTTCAGTACTCCTAATTCTAGGATTAAATGGAATCGATTCTTTTCGTTCTGGTTTTCTTCTGTAGGGTTTTTAACAAACGTTTATTTTGGGCTTTGTAAACCTATTTGTTCCATTAATTTCCTTTACTCAAGCAACTAAAATTGAGTTTATGGCCTTGTCTTGTAATTTAATTTCTATACATATTAATAGTGCAGCTATTGATTACCAAAATAATAATAATAAGAAGAATAACAACACTAATAAATAATAGTAATATTGATTTTCGCACATCTAGTTTATGAAATTCATATTTAGTATTTTGTTATCCTGGGTTCCTTTACTCAAAATTTGTGGCATATTTTCTGATTATTTATGTCTTAAGAAATTAAGTTTTTATACCTTAAGAAATTAATTTAATATCATTTTCTTTTTCTGTATTTCAGAGTTTTCATTCCAGTTTGACCTTTGATGGTTATAATTATTCTGAGATCTGAAACAGTATCAAATACAGTTGCCGTAAAGAAGGAAATGAGATTGAAATATTGTTAACTTATCTTGAGCTTTATTTTTTCTTTCAGAGCAAAAGGACATGCTGTCCAAAACTGGATGCCATTAAAAGTGCAACGGCTGATATCGTGAGTCAATTTTGTTTTTCTGTTTTTTTATGTCTGTGCTTTACAATTTTTGGGTGATAATTTTTTTTATTCCATTTCAGGTTTGATCTTGATGAGTCTTTTTCTCGGATCAGGATCCAGTCCCGTTTTTGTGGGAACTGGACGGTCCAGTCAAGCAAGTGCAAAATAAACTGACTGAACTGTCCAGTTACGAGACTGAATCCAGATCCCTTTTTCTCATTGAAAGCTAACATGACTAATTTATTTTGAAATTTCAAATTGATAAGTTAATTGATGCTGTTTTTCATTTTGTTTTTTAATCTTTTTGTTGGACAAACATGCTTTTAGTGCTCTTTTTAAAAATGGGAATATAACGTTGGAAGTGGGCTTTTTTTTTTATCATTAACCATTATTTATTTTTGGTACTGAAAGCTTACAGGCCTCAGTAAGAAGCCCATCACTTTGTCATGGGAAGACAGCAATTGCGCTTCAGTGGAAATTTCAGGACTCGATATTGGATGGGGGCAGGTGATGATTGAGCCTTATTGTTTAGATTTAAGATATGTCTCTGTTCCTCTATAATAAAAAGTGTAATGTTACATTACATGGAGATATTATCGCATAGCATCATCATCATTAACTGCTTCAGTTACAAGTTACAACCATTTATTATTTTGTTCTGAAACGTTCATATGTATGTTCTTTGGTTTTCTGTTGGGATTTTTATGTTGTATGGTCATTACCTTAAAGAATATTTAAAAAATAGTGTGTACTGTAGCTTGTGGTTCTTGTTAGTGTAACTATGACTTGAGAGTCCTTTTGACAATATGAATGAGGTGGCTGATGTGTCAGTGTCAAAATATTTGAGAAGGGAAAAATATGCTGCCATTACATCTCTTGAACATATTTGAACAATTTAGGTAACAAATTCTTGGATGATGAGTGTCTTGATAACAAGTTATATGCAAGGCCAATCTACATCCCCTATTGTTGTGTTTCTATTATTTGTTCTTTTCATTTTTTTTTAATTCATTTTCACTTGTGGTCTCGTTTGTAAATCCTGGAAGCGATTCTTCATCTAGTATATTCAACTCCCATTTCAGATTAAATAAAACACTTAAAAATAAGTATCTATATGTGTTAAGTCGACTACACATTTTGTTCAAGGCCCCTAAAAAGTCAATAGCTTATAGTTGCTTATTGGATGTTACCAATTCTTTTTCTCACCACTGCTGTCTGGGATTCTGACCAACTAGGAGAAAATAATATATCTGTAGAATTTTTAATTTTGGTCCTTGGCTGTTCAAAGTTGAACTACTTCTGACATCTTTCCAACCTGATCTGCTCACAACATGATATGAAATGTCATTTCAGATTCAAAATCTTTTTATAATTAAAATAATCTGAATGTATAGTTTGACTTATTATGTTTTGAACATACTAAACCTTATGGTTGTTATGAGTTAATGCTAAACCTTTACTCAATATATCTTGATCTCTTTTCAGAGAATGCCCCTAGATTTTGATGGCAAACAGGGTTTATGGTTTCTCAAGAGGGAATTACCTGTAAGTGCACTTGTTAAAACTGGACTGTTATTTTTTATTAATTTAAAGTTTGGTCTTTTATTTGATGGATGATAAAATAAAATAAGTTGAGATCTGATTGTCAGCTGATATTGAAAACAATACACGGGGGAAAAGGATTATTGGATAATTTTATTTACAATGTTTATAATAAATCAACTTGTCAAAATCATATTAAAGGAGATTTCATTTCTAATAAAGTAGCTTTGTGGTATTAAGTTCTTTTCTCTCAACCTTATGCATATGAGATGAGAATAACTATATTTAATAGCTCAATGATGTAGTAGTCCTAATCATGTGTACTAGATGGCTGAGGTTCTTCCATAAGGTATTTAATTTAAAATTACTATTCTCGCTTAAATCCATAGACACAATTTGCATTTCAGAGAAAATTATGGTAATTCCTAGGATGGATTGAGTGAGTACTTTTAAACACTTGTGATTTTTGTTTATGGCTTTATAAAGGTATTTATTTAGGTGGTCTAAAGAATTCAGATGTTCGAATGCATATACTATTTTCTGGACATGCAAATCTGTAGCTTATTTCATTAGATTGATGAGAATCAAGTTTCTTGTTGTTCTATTTACCAGGAAGGACTCTACGAGTACAAGTACATCGTTGATGGGGAATGGACATGCAATAAAGATGAGCTTGTAACCTCTCCCAACAAAGACGGCCATGTTAACAATTTTATTCAAGTAAGTTTGAAGTTTCAACTAATTATCTCAGAAAACTAACTAAAAATAAAAAAATTGTATTGGTAACTTCTTTGAATCCTAGGAAATTGCTGGAAGCTCGAAGCTAGATGTTATCTCCTAAACTAGTACCACAACATACAGTGCTCACAATCATGATGATTTTTATCTCCTAAAGCCTCATCCTGGAGAGGGATTTTGCAGCAAATCACATTTTTTGTCATCTGATTCTAATTGCATCCACTATTCATTTTAAGTCGTTGGAAGTTTGTGCAATGCATTCTTCGTTCTTGATTTCACATTTCACCCTCTCTGAACAGGTCCTTGATAGCAGCAGCGTTCGGGCCTCTCTTTGGGAGAGATTGACTGGTGACGATCCTGATCTGACAAAGGATGAACGACTGAGAATAAAAGAGTTTTTTGAAGCTTGTCCTGATGAGGATTTGTGAATCATCAATGCACTTCGTTGTTGATATGTAAAGTATTAGATGCACGTATATACAATACATATCTAATAAAGATTGAATCTGAACCGCAGATAAGATCTTTGTTTCAGTTATAATGCTGGAATGCCGCAGCTTATTGTCTTCCGTAGCATTGTTTAAATAGTACACATACTTTCAATGTACCATTATATATATGTGGCAATGAGCTTTACATCTATAGCTCAATAGTTGTTAAAATGTTGTAGTTAAACCCCAAGAGTCATTTTGATATATTTTAGTTGCAATCTGAGTTATAAAAATTATAAAATAGCATCGATCAACTCCCCAAGAATATCAAATTCTATTATCCAAACAACTAATATCCCCTAATAAGTAGACTTGAAGAGGAGATGAAAAGTAATGTTCACTGTACGCTCTAACGAAGCAGAACATAGACTACTGAATTACGAAACCCAGTTACATTAAAAGGTAAAGGGGATGCTAAATCCATCCAAGGAGTCAAAGGTTTGTTGATCACGCGCAACCCAAACTTATTCCCTTCACCATGCCAGACAAAAGTCTAATTTAGACAATTTTTAAAATAAATACTTACAAGGACAAAAAATAAAACGAACAAGTTTCTTCCAAAAATTATAATTAATGTATATATTTCATATTTAAAAAAATTTAAATGAAATAACTTTTAAAAGAATACAAGAAAATAATTAAATTTAATTTAAGGAATTTTTTTGTTTCTTCAATAAATAATTATTAAAAAGTTTTTTGACCATAATACACCTATGACAATAGATGTTTTGATCCATGATTAGTGTTGAATGTGGCTGTAGCCTTTTTTTTTTTTTTTATTAATGTTTGGCCTTAGCCTAGCGTATACATGCTTTTATCAGATCTGGATCCAGTCTAATTAATACGAGAATTAGACATCCAGTTTCATTTTTTTCTTAAACAAAAATGTAGAAAACGACAAATATTTTTTATACAAAATTAGCTTAAGCGAATTTGTTTGAGATTTGCTTAAGCGAATTATTTCAGCTTAAGCGAATTTTGTGCATTTAAAGAGATAGAAGCTAAATATAAGGAAAGAAAAGATTGAAGATAGATGAAAATAAGAAAAACAGTGGTATAAGAGTAGTGATAGTGGGAGGAGAGGAGGGTGAAGAGTTGGGTATAAAGCAAAACGAAAGATGTAAGTATAAGGTAGAGTAAGTGGAAAGAAAAAGAAGTTGGGTATGAAATGGAGGGAAGAAGGTTGAATATGAAGGTTAAAGAGAGTTGAATATGAAGGTTGAGAAGAGAGTGTTAAGCATAGGAAGAATGAGAAGAGAAGGTTGAGATTAAAAATACAAAATTCCTTAAGTTGAAATAATTCACTTAAATAAAAAAAATTCGTTTAAGCTAATTTTACATAAAAAAAAATATCGTTTTCTGCATTTTTTATTAAGCAAGTCCATTTTTATTTAAGAAAAATAAAACTAGACATTTAGTTTTTGCGTTAACTAGACTGTATTCAAATATACTTTTATTCTATATTATTATTATGTTTTAATATAATTTTTTGTATGACAAAAAAACCCTTTGATTTTTAGACTATGATAAAAAGTGACAAAAAAGAGTAAGATTTTTAAAGCATTCAATTGCTGTGAAAAAATAAAGTTATTTGAGATTTATTCGTCTGTTGACAAAAAGAAAAAAAATTATAATATTATGTAGTAGTATACAAATTTATTATAGAATAGAATACTATTTAATTTTAAAAATTATAAATTTTGCTAAACTTTAAAAAAGTAATATAATATACTTTAAATTTTTCATTTAAAATTTTAATTTAATAATGTTTGCATATGATCTAAATATATAAATTATATATTTTTAGAAATGAGAAGGAAAATAATATTCATTAATTTTTTATGTATAATTTCTCATAAAAAATTGTTCTATAATTATTTATGAGATAATTTTTTTCTCATCTTTAGTTTTGATATTAACATTTAAATTATTATTAATTATTAATGATTTAACAAAATTAGAAAACTTATAATTATTTGTACTTATATACTGCGAGGTATAATAAAATTATAAGCAAGTTAGTAAAGCAAAAATAAACTTAAATTTAAAGATTAAAATTTTAATTAAATTTTAAATTAACGTTTAAATGGAAATTTTATATTAAGCCAACTTTAAATGTCAGAGCACTATTAATTTTTATTTGTTATTATTTTATTATTTGAACTAATCAACTAAAATTTTATCAACTTCTGCTCCACTTTACCCGTATGATCATGCATAACATTTGTTTTATAAAACCAATGGCATTATAATTACGATATGTGTAATGATTTGTTATATAATAAATTATGATTAATAGCTTTCAACATATATTTAAATCTCATTTAATTTTTATATATCCATATTATTTAATGCCTCCCAATCCATATTTTATTAAGTCAAATCATAATTAGTTAGGTTTCAATTTTTTTAATCTTTATCTCTTTACTCACTTCAATAATTACAGTCAACATTAAAATAACAAAAATTCATATTAATAAATTAACAATGAATTAAATACTATATAAGTAAAATAATTTAAGTTTAATTCGTTTAAAATATTTTAAACAAGTAAATCACTTAAAATAAGACTTATATTCAAAATTTTAATATTTAAATGGTAATAAATAAGTTAACTTATCAACACTGTACACCTAAATATATCATTGACGAATAATAATTAAATTTTTCTTAAAAATCAAATAGAAATAAAAATTAGAAAGTTATAACCTTCTCCACACTAGCACTCACCTTAAGTATTAAATCATTGACGAGTGCATTGGTCGATGTGAAACAAATTTTTTTTTCTCTAGTCGTTGATAAATAGTATTTAAATGAAAAATATAATAAATTAGAGAAAGTGACACAATTGAAAATAGTTTATGAAGTGCCACTTTTTGAATTAAAGTTTACATTCTTACGTCAACAAAAATTGGACTCTTGCGATACTCCTTATATGACTAGTTTTTTTTTTAAACATAGTAACTAGTAAGAAAATTTATACTCATAGTTCATGTACGACTTTATATTTAAAACTTATTTTTTATTCTTGAGTTATAAGTTATAATGAATATATTCAAGGAAGATGTATTTTTTTTCAAATATAATTAATAAATTATGTGATTAATTGTGTTTGATTTTAATTTGATACAAATTATATATTTTGTACTTTAATGTAACTTACTTATGGTTACATAGCTAGATCCAAATTCAAGTAAACAAAGAAAGTTATGTTAGACATTCGTTAGTCAACGTAAATATTTTTAAAATTCAAACAAATTATTATTACAGTGATTTGGATATAAATAAAAAATATCACTAGAAACACCAATAATTGGGAAGGAGGGAGGAATGTTGACTAAATATTTCTCTCTATCGTTTTAGTTTTTTAATTATTAATTTTTACATAACATAAAAATATAAATATTACATAACAAAAATTATTATTTTAAAATTAAATTTATTATTTTTACGCCTTTCAATTCTTGTAAATAAATAATAGAGGATTGAACTATGAACATTCTTAAGGTTTTTATTTATTTATTTATATTTTATTTTTATTCGTTTAAATAATACATATTATTTATCTTATATATTTTTATTTCTTAATTTATTATTTATTTTCTTATTACACCCTTGACGCAAATAGTGCTAGCGTAATAACCAGCGTGAGTCGTAGAATTTGTATTTTCTTTTGACGGATAAATAATTATATTTCCCGCAAGTTGTTTTAAAAAATTAATTAAATAAATAATCATTTCAGAAAATAAATAATTATATTTGATAAAAAAAACATATGAACTTATCATAACAAGAACTGGTCATTTTAAATTAGTCTAGGAAGAAGCAAAAGAATAAAAAAAACACAGAGGAGAAAAGAACAAGAGAACGTATTGTTTAAAAATTTTAAAAGTCAAAAAATAAATAAAATAAAATAAACTATTTTTTTTTGACACCGTTCTGTTATTTAATTTTAATGATTTTTAATAATAAAACAAAATTAATTGATGATATTAAGGACTAATTTAAAATTTAAATTTAAGGGAAGTGAAGGTTTACTCAGCGAAATAGTTTATAAAGTGAGAAGAAAGAGATGCAACTCAGAGAGGACGCGAGTGGTAGAAATTAGAATTCTTATGACAGCAGCAAACCAGGAGCAGAACCAGAACCAGAACCACGTTGAAGCCCCTGCACCAGTGCACGCCAATGGTGTAAATAGGGAGAATATCATCACGCGGATTGATCGTGACCTTTACGAGGCTGCAGTCAAAGGAAACTTCCAAGCGTTCGTCAATCTCCACAGCATCCACACTCTTCTCACCCCTAACAAGAACACCGTCCTTCATGTCCACTTGACATCCCGAACAACCCAAACAATTTCACAAAATGTGTGTCTAAATTTCATAAAGCCAACTCCCGATACAGCAGTTTCAGAGGAATTTGTGAAAAATATTCTTCACAATTATAATCTCAGATCTAAAATCGGTCTACTCCCTAATGCTAAAGGTGAAACGCCTCTTCATGTAGCTGCTAGATATGGACACTACAGCATCGCAAAATTACTAATTCAACATGCTAAGGCTTTTCTTCCTGACATTGAACATGGGATAGGAGCAGAAAAAAACTACATTAGAGCAAAAACTTGTGATGGAAACACAGCTTTACATGAAGCAGTGATTAGTCATCACATTAAAGTAGTTCAAATTTTGCTACAAATAGATCTGATTACTCCTATTCTGCTAATAAGGCTAAGGAGACTCCACTTTATTTGGCAGCAGAGAGAAAATATACGCAAATAGGGCACGAAATTTTACACAAACTCAAATCACCGGCATATGATGGCCCCAATGACAGAACGGCGTTGCATGCTGCCGTCATTAACCGTGATTTAGGTACCAAACCTTCCTCCTCTTCCATCTTTTTTTCTTCAGCCAGTGTTTTTAAACTCGCTCATAATTAAATCGATAAAAATATTTATTTACAGTTGATTAATTTAACGATAACTTAATTAAAATAAACTATATATATTTTAATATTATACAACAAATTAAGATAAAATTGGAGTAATAACACTAAAAAGAATTATCATTTATTGATACATAATTTTTTTCTGAAATTCCGAAGAACAGTGATAAATTTTTAATAGTTATAAATAATTATGCGACCAAAACAGTAAGTGGCGGTTAGTTTAATTAAAAAAAGGTGAGGAGATTATAATATATTATTGGGCAAATTTTGCGTGTTAGTACTAAAAGAATGTTCTGGTACCAGCAATGACAAAAGATCTTGTAGCGAATATGCACGTGAGAGGTGCGCTGAAACATAAGGACAACAAAGGTTGGATTCCTCTTCATCATGCAGTGAAAATCGGGGACCGAGATTTGACAAGGTTTCTCCTTCGACAAGATGAAGACACTGCATACATACAAGATAAGGAGGGCAGAACAGCTCTTCATGTTGCTGCTTATTGCGGTCATCCATTTATCGTCGAAATCATCATAGAACACTGTCCAGATTGTTCAGAGATATTGGATAACAATGGTTGGAACGCTCTTCATTATGCCGTCAATGGGAACAATATCCGCATTGTGAATAAAATCATGCAAAACCTCTCACTCAGCAACCTTTACAATGAGAAAGATGTTGATGGAAACACACCCCTTCATCACCTCGCAAATTCCCGGATCAAAGGACTATCGTTGATATATCACGGCAGAGTTGACAAACTGATCGTCAACAAGAGAGATCAAACTGCCCTCGATGTTGCCCACAGTAGGGAAGATTCAGTTTTACAATTGAGACAGCAGGTAAGAAAAAAAAAAAAAACAACAAATTTTCATGTCAATATTTTTATTTATATCATTTTTTATTATTATTTGATGGGTTATGTAATTTTCACTAAATAAAGTTTGAATTCTGAACATTTAGTGAAATCACATGTAATTCATTTAATAATAAAAAAACATGATGCTTTAACCCTCCTAATTCGATTATAAATTTATTACATCTGTTAGCTTACATTCGTAATGGAGTGATTATTCTAGTGTTTTAAGAATGGGGTGGGTTTCAATACTTATTTTAGTCTAGATTAATAAAATAAGAACAATATTAACAATATATTCTTTTAAACATATTTTTTAATATACTCTTTTTAATTAGTCAATTTTTTCAATAGTTAAATATTTTTTTTCTAAATAAATCAATTTAGGATGCAAATATTTTTACCTTTTAAAAAATTGACTAATTACAAATAGTGTGTTGAAAACTATATTTAAAAAATGTGTTGATAATTTTTTTTATAAAATAAGGACACAAGGAGTTAATTTAACCACCTCATATTATGACGTGTTTGCATATATGTATTTTATTTATTTTTATTAGTTTTGTATAATTAATAAAGAATCCCATGGGGTAGATGCATAAAATAAAAAAGAATGATTCTCAACTCAACGTTTAGGCAAGAGGAACTGCTTCAGTTAATAGCATCTTTCTTTTTATACATAAAGATAAATTTGGGGCAACAAGAGGAACTAACTATCTAAAAGAATAAAGGCAAAGGAGAAGAATGGTTGTTTTATGTATGCATGAGATTGAAATTTGAAATGCAGGGGTTAATAATGCGATTAGAAAAGACTGGAGCTAGACGAAGTCAGCGAAATGTAGAAGTGAAAGATGAACAAAACAACATGTTAGAGTTTACTAAGGAAGCAAAGGAATCACATCTATTGGTGGCGACACTGATTGCAACGGTGAGTTTTGCGGCTGGGATTACCCTACCGGGAGGGACCATAATAGATGGCGATAATAAGGGGTCCCCTATTTTAGGACACAGAGCCTCTTTCAGAGCATTCATGATATCAAACACTATATCTCTTGTTCTGGCAGCTTCTGCAGCTTTCATACACCTTTTCTCACCTCTGAACAAAGCCAAGTGGAAGGATGGTTATCTCTCCCAAGTAGCCTTCTCATTCACTTTGGTTGCAATAGCAACAATGATTGTGGCATTTGCCACTGCCACTTATGCTGTGTTGGGATCTTCCTCATTTGGCATTGCAGTTATCACCACTGGATTGGCCTTCTTCCTTGTCTTTAGGCAGGCGCTGAAAATCAATTTCAGAGGCTCCTTTATCGTTGCATTTATACAAAACATAGCCGATATAATCATATTTCCTTTCATAATATTCGCCCCCAGACCCTGGGGTTTCTTCTTTCTCCCATTTGAAAGACATCACTTTCAGCGAAAAGTCATCTTCTAGATGTGTTTATAAACACTTTGAAGAACTTATAGACTTGAATCTAATGCAAATATTACAAGATGTAATGTTTAAATAATGTAATTTATTTTTTTAATAAGATTCGACTATTACTGTACCCCCATGATGCCACACGCGGCTTTGTTTGCTTTATATCACTTCCTCAACAAATTAAATGTACCTGTTTTTCACTCCATTTTATATTTTCATGAATGATTTTCCTGTCAATTACACAGATTACTTCCTCAATTAGATAAGAAATGAATTCCTAACATACAATGAAAAAATTGTCCTATAACATTCATATTAGGAAGGGGAGATGGGAAGAAAAATGCAGAGACACGGCTCAACTATACATCCTAGAAAAGTTCATACCCGCCTGTGCAAAAAAAGAAATGGCCCATTGCTAAAGAGGATCTCCTTTAGAACTCCTATACAACCCCCTTTAGGATTGCTATGCCATGTGAATTTGCAGCCCTTTAGGTCCACATCTATTAGCCCATGATTGTCCATGAAATCTCTGAAATTATCAATTCTGCTTCGAGGTTGATTGTGCATGCCTATTTTCTCATGTTGGTACAAAAATTCATTAAGATCACCCATACAACACCAAGCTTGGTCAGAGTTACTAATCAGGGACCCAATAATTGGCCAGAGATGTCTTCTATGGTTGAATGTAAGATTACCGTAGATGAATGTACATAACATACATGTATCAGTGGGCCTATATGTGATGGTGGTGTGTATAAAATTGGGGTAGGCCTTTTCTACCTTAACTTCCCCAGTACTATCCCACAACAAGCGTAGCCTTCCAGATTGCCCTCTTGAATCAACACAATAGAAGGAGATGGACATCAATAAATATTTAATTCCATAATTTTTTCTTCCCTTGTTTTGATTTCAATGAAGAATAAATCGGCAATGTAGATCCTTATTCTCTCGCTTGTTACTGCTCTCCCGGCAGTCTCCTCTGATCATTCCCCATAGATTATTGGATTTGGGACAGAATCATAAGATTCAGAAACCATGCTGACTATTGTGATCAAGCTATTTCTTCCCTATTTTTCACTTTGTGGCAGATATGGAAGGCAATAAATCAGATTGATCACATCAATGCAATTAAGCAAAAAAATAAAAAAGATTATCATTAATACAATGCAAGAAGACAGATGAAAGTTGATAGCAGTAATTGTGCACCGTACTCCGGGTGATGGATCACTTCAAACAAATCAAGTTGATAAGGTCAAGCCGTGGGCATATATAGCTGTTAAAATGTCTCAAACTGAAAAGGGCATTACCGCTCACAAAAAAATTGAACCTGATTTCATGGAAACGAAACCACGTGATGAAGTTTCAGCTTCTTATTTTAGCTCATCAGTGAACATCACGCGCATTGATCCAAGGCTGCAGTTGAAGGAAACATCCAAGAATTCAGCAACGAGAACAACATCCAAAACCTACTCACTCCAAACAAAAACACCATCCTTCACTTATACTTAAGCATATGATGGTCCCATTAATGGTATGAATATCATCAACCTTGCTCCTCCATGTCTACACAATATAGTATAGAGTGAGAGAGTTTGCTTATATATTAGATGAGGTGCCTTAACATGTTTCAATTGTTTTTTTTTTAATGTATTAAATTAAAGGTGTAGTTTATTAATATATTTGTCCAAAAAAAATAAAATAAAGTAGTGATATATGTTAAAATTTATGGTCTAACATGTATTTATTATTTTTTAGAATTTTTTAAATAAATTTTGATACTTAAACTAGCGTATAACATAGTTGATTAACGTATAAACTTATTTGATCAAAATATAGGTGTTTGTAGCGAGTTTATTTCATTATTCATCGCATTTTTTTTCGTACGTTACTTGAATTAACTTTTGAATATAGTTTATTATAATTTTTTTTTTACTTATATCTTTATTACTATAGTAAATGTTTCTTTTATCATGATATTGTAAAATGTCATATGATAGATTCATTTTGTTTACTATAAGTTTACGTATTAATAGTAATTGCATTTGTTATTTGCAACACCGACACCAGCCTCCCTTAAATTATAATACATATGGAGTAATTCTCATTAATCATTGTGTTTCATATCACATTTTATAACAGAGATATAAAAAGAAAAGTGTTTTCTGTATTTCTTTGGGAGATATTTTTAGGTGCCTTCTTTATAAATGTGCATATAGAAAAGATAAAAATAAGCAAGAGATAGAAATTATAATTATATATAATGTTAATTTTAATAGTTTAAATATTAAAACTGAAGAAAAAAGGATATATAATAAAGGGGTGGAGAGAATTGTCTTTTAGTGCTTTTCTAGATCTGTCATGAAATTGGATCTCACTATGTATTAATTGTATACCCGACTTCTTGTGTTGTTTATATATGGTATGAGGAGTTAAGCTAACTACTCAAATAAATAGATCAAATTTACCAATTTCTTTATCAAAGTTAATGATTTCTGCCTAAAGTTAATCATCATGACATGTTCAAGTTTTCTTCATGCTTCTCTTCCATTCAGTCACATTGCGTAAATCACTGAGTGTTGCTAGATTTTCTCAATTTCTTGTGTGGATTAACGTTAGTTATTAAATTTATAATATTAATTATGAAAATTAACAATATGATTTTTAATTATCACAAAGTAGAATAAATTTTGAAGAATTTGGGTTATTCACTTAGTGATTAACGAAAGTTCTCTACTTTCTTTAAACGAGACTATGTAAATTATTTTATAAATATTAATGTTTCTATTTTTTAATTTTACGATAAAAATTCATTTTTATCTTTTAACTTTATTTTACGATAAAATTCATAGTTTGTAAATTACATATTAAAAATAATAAAAACTATGAAAGTATACATAATTCATTTTTTAAAAATTATGTTAAAATTACAAAAATGAAATGCACGGTTATTTAAAAGGAAATATAACATATATGAAATTTAATTACTCTGAAATATTAATTTGATTTATAAAATAAATGATTAAATTTCATTTAAATGATAAAATATATTTCATTCCTTGAAATAGCATTAATAATACATTTAAACAAATAATTTAATTAAACTCTGGGTTCAAAAGAGTTTATTGTATTAATTTAACTATAAAATGTATTAAAATAACTTTATAAAGGTGATATATTATTTTTATGAATTTAAATAAATTACTCATAAATTATGTAAACATTTCCTTAAGTAAATTACTTTTAATTTCAAAATAGTTCACATATGCAAGTGAAAACATAATTACACAACTTTTAAAAATTATATATATGATATTAATTAAAAGTAAACTAATGATCTTGTAATATAATTCGGGGAACGCGCCACTAGTGATATATAGGTAATAAACAAATGTAGATTCAGATTGATGATGGAAAGCAGGAGGAGAGAGAGTGGGTTGGAATGTAAAGTTCTCAGTAACAAAAGAAGGTTGGCAAACTCAGTGCACAAAAATGTGAAATAATACTATAAACAATCAATATTCAATATTAATTAATACCAATGATTTCACTTCTTCTTCTTTCCACTCTCTTCTGCAAATCGCAATAAAATTTTCGCGGCAAAATTTTTCTATTTTCCTCATTTTTTCAATTTCTCAATGGGATTGTCGCGAAACGCGTCGTCGCAGCCGGAGATCGACGACGCCGGCAACGACATTGGATTCCACTCCACCCGAGGCCGATTCGCCTTCAAGCGGAACCCTAGCCACCACCGCCACAGGCTCTCTTCCGATCGCCAATTTCCTCGCTTCGCCAACACCAACGCCAACGCCCGATCTCACGTCCACAGTCGCTTCAATCGCAAGGGCTTCCTCTCTCTCTTCCCTTTCTTCAAGGCAAAGTCCGGATTCTACGCCATGCTCATCGCCGTCGTCTTCCTCTTCGCTCTCGCCTCCATGGTCATGCAGAACTCCATCACCTCCGTCTTCCGGCAACGCTCCGAGCGCGGGAGGTACCTACGTCAAGGCCTCAAGTTCGGCACCACGCTCAAGTTCGTCCCCGGAAAGGCTTCCCAGAGGTTCCTCTCCGGTCACGGCCTCGATCGCCTTCGCTCCCAGCCAAGGATTGGTATTCGCGCGCCAAGGATAGCTCTCGTCAGTTCCCTTTCCTTTTCTGCAGAATGATTCTCTTTCTTTCATTCATTCGTTGTTGTTTGTTTAATAGTGTATGAATGTTTTAATGCCATACTTTTGATCTGAGTATGATTAAGTTTGAGGTGCCGAATAAATCAAGATAGGATTTAGTTGTTTTTATTAGGGTCGTATTAATTACTCAGTTAATTCAAATTACTGTATATTTCGTCCGTTTATATTATGACAGGAGAACCGTACTATTAATTTGCTTTTGGTTTGTGGCGTTTTTATTGAGTGATTATTGTGTTCATTTGTTTCTTTCAGTTTTGTTTATTTAATAGAGATTAGAGAGTAGGTTGTTTACCCAGTTATGACAAAGCCGAACTAATTTTAGTTGTTTTGACGGACCATATTGGTGTTCTGTTTAATTAGTTAATGGAAAAGATATTTCTTATTATGGATTATGCATTCGAGTTATAACAGGAGAATCATGCATTTCATTCCAATTACCATTTTTCGGACTCTGTATTGGTCCTTGAGTATGAATAACTTGTTCTATTCCACTTTTTTCAAATACACTTCTCCCTTATGATTAAGGTTAATTGGAACAGAGTGACAATAATATATATATATATATATATATATATACACATTCTTGTTGAGGTTTGTACATCAGAAGTTTACAATGATGAAGCAACAGAGTTTGCCCCTGAGTAATGAGTTAACTCCAGGAGAGGATGTATAATGTATTTATTTTTTTTGGATGTTGTACATTAAATAAAATTCAAATGCTATTTTTTGCGTATGCATATGAAAAGGTGAATAAACAATGCTTGGAGCAAATCAGTACTTTTTGCCATTTTTGTTTAAAGTTATGTGAATTCTTGGGGCAGCAATGCTGATCAACACAACAAGTCATGTACAAATGAAATTCTACACCTTAGCCAATGGCTTTGCAGCCAAGTGGCCCTTAGTTTCCTTAGGAGGAAGTTGATACCAGATTTGGTACCTGATGAGTGTCAAATTGTCGAAATGTTTGTGCATTGCATCTTATTTTTCCCATTGCAATGACAAGTCTTAGTACTTGCTTTACCAAAACCGAACAAAAAATAATGAGGAATTTCTTGAAATTATTTTTCTTGGGGATGTAGCTTACTATACTTTAATTGATAGAAGGTTGAAGAGTTAGAGATACTAAGTTCACTAAATTACTGGACAAAAATTCTGCGCCCGTTACTTCTATATCAGCTTTTTGTTTGGATTTATCATTTCATAGGTACTACACTTAATATTTGGAGTTTTCTATGTAAATCTAAATGTCTGACAGAAAGTGAGGGTTTGCTTGACTGAATTGGCAGGCCTTGTAATGTAGCATGCCTCAAACTTCTAATTGTAAGTCATTAAAATGGGGTGATTATTAAAGTAATGGAGGGTAAAGAAGCTATGCTCTTATACTTACATTGGATAGGCATGTGTACTGCTGTATTGTAATGCCATAGCAGAAATTCAAAATTTATGGTGTTTTCTTTATTTTATACTGATCATGCATTTATTATGCAAACCTTCATTCCTCTCTGTTGTTCAAGCACAGACATAAAACCTTACTAGTTACAACTTGAACTTCAGACAAGAATCCCTGCTTAAGAACTTTGGTAGGTACCTTCATGATCATGGATTGTTTCATCGGTTTTGAGTAATGAGCATAAGAATGACAGATGGAGGAAGAGAATCTAGCCTTTTCAGAAGCATGCAGAAAAACAATATTTCTAGACTGTGGTCCTGAGTGTGGATCTTGTAGCCCTTGGGCCAAAAAGGCTGGCTCAAAAGGTGTAGACTAGTCACTTGGCCCTTTTATGTATTATTTTACAAAAAATAAAAGGGCTGGTAACATTAAGTTTTGTGCCCTTAATTAGGTTATCGCTTATCAAACATCCTAAAAATCATTTGCATTATTCAACATAGTATCCTGCATGGAAAAATCTTATTGAATTTTGTTATGATTGCATGCTCTCGGTATATTTATCTGTTGTTTTGTATGCCAGATTTTGGGGCACATGATGATAGATCCCCAGACACTGATGTTGGTTACTGTGATTCGGAATCTACAGAAGTTGGGTTATGTTTTTAAGGTACATCATTTCGATTCTATGTGAGATATTTTCTTTACAGATGCTGATAATGCTTATTCAAAATCTAGGCCTGAGATTCAAGTTTTGCAATAACTTGTAATTGATGCTGTAGCTTGTTTGTTTATATGTTTGGTTTTGTAATTAAGGATAGGTTTTGAGCCATGCATTTTTTCCTTTTCTATAAACAGATATTTGCAGTACGGCATGGGAAGGCCCACTCAATATGGGAAAACGTAGGTGGTGGTCTCTCTCCTTTGAATACAGAGCAGCAAGGCCTGATTGATTGGTCAATGTATGTGTCTTTTACTAAGTTTACTTTTCCAGTTTGATGCTGGGGTTCAAGTTGGGGTTACCTGCATCATTTTTAATGCTTTAACAATTTTTTTTTGGTAAATATGTTTTGGCATAATTTCTTGTTGTAATTGATGGGAAATTGACCTTTTCGTTTTGGTTTCCCCACAGTTTTGAAGGCATCATTGTTGACTCCATGGAAGCAAAAGAAGCCATTTCTAGGTGGGTTTTCTTTTATCAGTTGCTAAATGTTTGACCTTTGAACTTCTGTATTGGGCTTTTGGGAAGGGGGTGGGGTCCCAATTTTGTCTCCAAAAGTTAAAACAGTTTTTCTGTTCTTTGAGTGTTTACCAAGAAATTTTATATCATGTTGCTTATAATTTCAGTGAATACTTGAAAATTTGTCCTATATCATATGAACTGAAGATCACTCTGATAGATGGGTTTAATAATTGAATTATCCACCGATCTTGTGAATATGTTTTATGTTGATTGGTCCAACTTTTCCCCATTGTTTGCATGATTAATAGAGGAAATAATTTGTTTGAAGTGAAAGTCAGGGGTGTAAGTTTGTCTACCTTGTTTGAAAACACATAAAAATTGACAGGAATGGAAATTAAATGATATATAGTTTCCCATTTTTCATCCTTCTTTTATGTCCAATAAATGTTTTAATGTTACTTATGTTGTTGTTTTCTTTAATAGTTAGGTATTTTTTTTATGTTGATTTTGATGATTTAAAATATTTGCAGAGGCTTCTAGATAGAGTAAGCTTTAACCACAATAGACCCACTATAGTTTTAAACCTGATTGCTTGAAATTTTTCTGTCTCAAATATGTTTCTTGTTTGTCCATTGATGTTTTTGTCTCCTTGTATGTACGAGTACACTTGTGCAAATTCATTCTTCCAGGCAATAAGTTTAGAAAAGGAATTAGGAACACAGGATGTTTTGATGGTGGTTTAAAACTTAAAAAAAAAAAAAAGCGTTATGCTTTATTAAACTTTGAAAGATATTGGTTTCCTGATATATGCTTCGGTACTTGTAAGTTTTAATATTGAAAATAGATATAATCATTGCTAGAATTCTTTGGACCTGTATTTTATCATTATTATCTTGAAAGGTTAATTAATGTTGAATCCAATAGTCTGGATTTGAACATTGAGGCAGTGAGCATTCTGTGACATCTTTCTGTCCTTTCTCCTTGGTCATAGGAGATGTTTCTTATTTGAAGTTTTAGATACTATGATTAGTGAGTTTTATATTTGTGCAGCCTTATGCAGGAGCCTTTTTGTTCAGTACCATTGATATGGATTATTCAAGAAGATAGCCTTGCAAGTCGTCTACCAGTTTATGAACAGATGGGTTGGGAGCATATTGTTTCTCATTGGAGAAGTGCTTTTAGCAGAGCCAGTGTTGTTGTCTTTCCAGATTTTACTTACCCGGTAAAGTTGCAAACTGTTACATATGCATTAAGATGCAAATATTGACTGTATTAGAATAATAGAATCTGTTCTCCAATAGCATGCCTTAAATGTTTTAAAGCTATTGCTCAGTTTTTTTTTCTTTCTATATCAGATGTTATATGGTGCGCTTGACACTGGAAACTTCTTTGTGATTCCTGGATCACCGGTAGATGTGTGGGCTGCAGAAAGCTATGGTAAGACCCACACAAAGGATCAGCTAAGAGAACTTAGTGGATTTGGTAAAAATGATATGGTGGTTCTTGTTGTTGGGAGCTCAGTATTCTATGATGACCTATCTTGGGACTATGCTGTTGCAATGCACTCCATAGGGCCTCTGCTGACAAGATATGCGAGGAGGAATGATGCAGCTGAGTCATTTAAATTTGTCTTCTTGTGTGGCAATTCTACTGATGGCTATGATGATGCTTTACAGGTAGTTTTTCTTTTTAAGGTGTACTGTGTGTCATATGTTATGTTGATGACTTGGATCCCAACAAAATATAAGACATCTCTGCTCATTTTATGTAATTAATTGACAAATAATTGATTATTTACTTTAAATTATTTTCACTTGTCAGGAGAAATATATATAAAAATATTTGAAAACAATGGATAGAATTATATTTAGGAATTTAGTTTTGTTGTCTAATAAGATGTTAATGGTTAACTACTTCACAGTATTTCCACAAGTTGATGTCCTTTGAGGTTATTGTTGGAGTTTACTTGTTTAATAAAAGAATATGAAACCAAAATCGATCACCGAGGTGTAAAATTGCATTTTTTGGACTTCATGGAATACTGCATGTGCTCCAGAAGCCCTTTTTCATTGTGTAATTCTGAAACCCAGTGCTGCGATTTAACCATATGATTTTTCTGAAGAATACACCTGGTTTTTCTTAATCTTGCCTTTTATATTTTGAGATAAGACACAATTGTTGGAGGAAGCTTCTCCAAAATGGTTGGAAATTTATTTCTTGGGCAGGTGGATGTGATGCAAGGTGGCAGGATATCAATAAGAAAATGGACTGAATAGAAAACAATATGCTATTAGTAATGAAGCAAAACATAAACTGATGAAGATAATGACGAAATAGAAATCTTGAAGATGAGCTCTCTGAATATATTAGTTGCTAGGCTCTGTTTTACTGTGGATAACTTATTTTTAGTGACATTGCCTCAAAGCTTGGATATATTGTCTTTGAATTGTTTGCTGATCCATTATCTTTTGGTGTAGGAAGTTGCTTCACGTTTGGGACTTTCTCCTGGTTCTATAAGGCATTATGGCTTGAATGGTGATGTGAATGGTGTGCTACAAATGGCTGATATCATCCTATATGGTTCTGCTCAAGATGTGCAGGGTTTTCCTCCATTATTAATTAGAGCAATGGCTTTTGAAATTCCAGTCATTGCACCTGATTTTCCTGTGTTAAAAAAATATGTAAGTTTATTCTAGTTTCTTCCTTTTCATCATTCATTAATTTCTGAAACCATAACTACTTCCCTTCATTTTCATTGAGCTTTCCTATGCTCACAGATTGTGGATGGAGTTCATGGAATATTTTTTTCTAAACACAATCCTGAAGCTTTGATGAATGCTTTTTCACTTTTGCTTTCAAATGGAAGACTTTCTAAATTTGCTCAAGCAATTGGATCATCTGGAAGACAGCTTGCTAAAAATGTACTGGCTTTGGATTGTATAACTGGCTATGCAAGACTTCTGGAGAATGTTCTCAGTTTTCCCTCAGATGCTTTCCTGCCAGGTCCTCTTTCTCAGATTCAACAGGGGTCATGGGAATGGAATTTGTTCCAGAATGAATTAGACCTACACATTGACTTGCCTAAGATGGATGACATTTTTTCCAATGGAAAAGCTTCCATTGTGTATGCTGTTGAGCGGGAGTTGGCAAGTGTTAATTATTCAACCAGCACTTTTGAGAATGGAACAGAGGTTCCATTGCTAAATGAACTAACCACATTGGATTGGGACATTTTGAGAGAAATTGAAATATCTGAAGAGAATGAAATGTTTGAAACAGAAGAGGTATGATGTAATCTTGCAATAGCAGCAATTTGTTTTAACTTTCATCTTTACAACTCATGATCAGTTTATTTTAGATATATGTTGCTTCAAAATGTCATATATTTCTGTTGAAGGTTGAAGAGAGGATGGAGAAAGATGTTGGTATATGGGATGATATATATCGTAATGCTAGAAAATCTGAGAAAATGAAGTTTGAAGCCAATGAGAGGGATGAAGGGGAACTTGAGAGAACAGGACAATCTGTGTGCATTTATGAAATATATGATGGTGCTGGATCGTGGCCATTTTTGCACCATGGTTCTCTGTATCGTGGGTTAAGCATTGTGAGTATCTTTGTCCATATTGAACACACCATCCCTTGTTCCCAAACCCTTTTGTTTTCTTTCCACTTTTTCAATTTTTTTCTTACAAGTTCACACCAGATTTTGATATATTCATTATTATAGTCTCTAGATACCATTTTTAAAGATTTCAAATTTAGAATGCTCCTCTTTAATTTTATTACCTCTATTTTTTCGTTTAAAAGCAAGAGAAAAGGCATGCTATTACATTGACTGTCTAACTTATCAAGCATGGGCGTGTTATTTGGCAGTCTAAATTATCTGATGCTTGGTTTCTTTAAGAAAGTTTTTGCTCCTCTTTAATTTTATTACCTCTATCCCTTGGGATGATCACTTGTTTGAATTTAACAAAAAATGGTTAGTTTTGTTAGTCTTACATGTAAATTTTTCTGATAATAATGAAATAACAATTCTGGCAGTCTAGAAGAGCACAGAGACAAAGTTCTGATGATGTGGATGCAGTTGGCCGTTTGCCTATTTTGAATGACACGTATTATCGGGACATTCTCTGTGAAATGGGAGGAATGTTTGCAATTGCAAACAGGGTTGATAGCGTTCACGGGAGGCCTTGGATTGGGTTTCAATCATGGCGTGCTGCTGGTAGGCAGGTATTCCTTTGTTTTGTTTGCAATATTATTACTATATGGAATATGGCAAACCTCTTTGTGATTATGTGAGGCCATGCTAAGTAGCTTTCATAATTTAAGAAATCTCTGAAGTTAGCCTTAAATTTAATTAAGACTGGAGAATTAGTCTTTTATTTTAGGAAAATTGGCTCTTTTCTTTTCTTTTTGTTTCATTTTATTCTTTTATTACTTAATGTGTGGGTTATGTAACTTTCCAATGGATGAGAAGTTTCTTTTTAAGATTATTGCCTGATCGATACACCTTTTGTCATAGCAGGTAGCATTGTCACCTGAAGCTGAAAAGGTCTTGGAAGAGAGAATGCAAGAGAATTTTAGAGGAGATATAATTTATTTTTGGGGGCGCATGGACATGGTTAGGAGTATCGTAGGAAGCAATAATGCACTTACTTTTTGGTCCATGTGTGACATCTTAAATGGAGGCAACTGCAGGTATATAATGTGGAATATAACACTATACATTCATTTGTTCATTGCTATCTCTCAGCTGCCTAAGAATTTCAAGCATCACACCACCTTCCCTGATATATTCTATCCTAAAGTTGCATCTAGTGTTATTTGTACTGCCTACAGATAAAACGTTTAAAATCAGTTAGCTTAATTTGGTATGACAACTTGTGTGAAAAATGAGACGCTCTCTAAAAGATATAATGGTTGGAGGTTCAAAACGGAGGTTCTGGAAGTTGGGATTTGGATTTTGTAATGTGTTTCAAACTTGTCTAATATTCTGCTTCCAATTGCATCAGAACTGTTTTTCAAGATGGTTTCCGCCAGATGTATTCGTTGCCTCCGCATGCAGAAGCACTACCTCCCATGCCTGAAGATGGAGGTTATTGGTCAGCACTGCACAGTTGGGTGATGCCAACCCCTTCTTTCTTGGAGTTCATAATGTTCTCTCGGTAATTAATGAATCAATATTAGCTTTCTTAACTGTAGGTTAATAAAAGGTATTCTCTTGATGTAGATGAAACTAGAAAACTGAAATGTTGTCAATTGAATGCAGGATGTTCGTAGATTCCGTTGATGCATTGCACAGAGACTCCAGTAAATATGGCATGTGCTTGCTAGGGTCTTCAGAGATTGAGGTATTTTTTGGTTGCATTTGCTTTTAAGGTTTCTTAAATTATTTGTATTTCATAATACTGTTTGTTCTACGCAGAAGAAGCACTGTTACTGCCGAGTGTTGGAACTTCTCATCAACGTATGGGCTTATCACAGTGCACGAAAGATGGTATACATAAATCCCAACACTGGTTCTATGGAAGAGCAGCACCCATTTGAACAACGGAAGGGTTTTATGTGGGCAAAATACTTTAATTTCACATTGTTGAAAAGTATGGACGAAGATCTAGCCGAGGCTGCAGATGATGGTGACCATCCAAGGGAAATGTGGTTGTGGCCAATGACAGGGGAGGTGCACTGGCACGGAATTTATGAAAGGGAGAGGGAAGAAAGGTACAGGCTAAAAATGGATAAAAAAAGAAAAACAAAAGAAAAATTATTTGAAAGAATGAAGTATGGTTACAAGCAGAAATCACTTGGACGATAAGAAATCCTGGACTTGAAAGTTGCATAGCCAAACACTTTCTGAACCCAATTTTGCTTCACTCGGGAAAATTGTCTTGCGAATTGGAGAAGCTTTGATTCTAACAAATTGGCACAGATCATAGGGAATGTATTGTTTCTTTCTTCATTAACTGAATACGCATACTGAACCCTCGGTCTCCGAAATAGGGTGAGACAGAGAGCAAAAGGAGTTTCCCATCTTCTGCTGTTCATTAGTTTAACGGCCTTTTTTGGTGGTCAATTATAGCAGCAGCATAGAAGATGCAGGGAGTTCGACTTCGAAGTGTACTCATAGTCTATAGAAATTCATCCATCAATTACATTTGATTAGCATAAATATGTATTCATTCATTACTGTATATTTGTTAAACGTTAGTGGCAATTTTGAGTAGAATAATGGCTGGTTTTCACATGACTAGTTACAGTTGTTATTATTATTATTATATGCTAACTGCTAAGCTTCGTTTTCACTTCTGCCCAGAGCTAGTGAACTTTCCGTTCAAAAACTAACAAAATGGCGAACCTGCCAAAGTTCTATAATCAAAACATACTCTTAACACATGGAACAGTAATTAAGTGAAAGCAATTTAGTTCACGCGTTATTTGGAAGGAATGAAATAAATGAGAAAGAGGAGTGATATAATTTTAAAAAAATTAATGAGTTTCCCTTAGAAATTTATTTAAATAAATTAAAAAAATTGCACTATTACAAATTATTTTCATAAATTTAAATAATTTTTGTATAAATTTTTTTATTTGCCTTTGTAAAGGTTGTAAGAATGTGCGCGCAAAGTTTAAGTCTAAGCAGTTGGTTAGAAAGATCATATCTTTAACAAATAGTGGTTTTGTTATTGTTCCTATAATTTCATTTTTTTGTTGATAGTAAATTCTTAATTTCTGGCCATTAGTCGTTTGGACTTGCTTATTTAAAGGCTTCGATTAAGTAAATAACAGCAAGCAGCAATTCATTATAATTTTCTATTATTTTCTTATCTTAAACTCTTTCCTCTATAGAAGCAATATATTACAACAACATTTATTTATTTGTTTGTAACAGTAGTATCATATCGCAGTAGCATTTATTTATTTGTTTGTAACAGTGACATCAGAGCCACTCCAAACAAAGTGATGGCCACCAGCAATTTCGTTCAACCATCCATTCCCCGCTTTGATGGACATTACGATCACTGGAGTATGTTGATGGAAAACTTCTAAGGGAATTGAGGAATCAACAAATGTTACAGCAATGACAGAGACTAAGAAAGGGAAATAAAAGAGTTGCGCTTGAAAGACTTAAAGGCAAAAAAAATTATCTTTTCCAAACAATTGATCGTTCAATCTTGGAAACCATCCTTTGTAAAGACACGTCCAAGCATATTTGGGATTCCATTAAGAAAAAATACCAAGATTTTGCAAGGGCAAAGAGACAATAACTTCAAGCCTTTCGTTCGGAGTTTGAAACACTACGAATGAAATCGGGTAAGTCAGTAACTGATTATTTTTCACGTACAATGACCATTGTCAACAAGATGCGTATCCATGGTGACAAAATAGATGATGTTGCTGTGGTTGAGAAGATACTCCGCTCCATGACTCAAATTCAATTTTGTAGTTTGTTCCATTGAGGAAGCTCATGTTATTGAGGAACTCTCAATTGATGAGTTGTGAAGTTCTTTGTTGATTCATGAACGGAAAATTTTCCAACAGGAGAAGGAGGAGCATGCATTGAAGGCTTCTACAGATAATCATTCTGCAAACAGAGGAAGTCGTGGTAGAGGAAAAGGTAGAGGAAACAATGACCATGGTTACCAAAATCAAGACAGAGGTAGAGGAAACAATGATCGTGGTTACCAAAATCATCACCACCAGCATGAGTCTTATTTCCAACGGAGAGGAAGAGGACAAGCAAGCTATCACTCTACATCCTTCATAACAAAGTCAGCAGACAAGTTAGATGTTGAGTGTTTTCGGTGTCATAGGTATGGTCATTATCAATCAGAATGTCGAGTTAATTTGGAGAATGAAAATGGAGAAAGAACTAACTTTGCAGAAAATAAAGAAGAAGTGTCTTTACTGATGGTTTATAATGTCAAAGAAGAAAAAGCAGAAGAATTTATGGTATCTAGATACAGGTTGCAGCAACCATATGAGCAGTGACAAGTCTGCATTTTCGGTGTTAGATGAATCTTTTCGTGACAATGTGAAGTTTGGGGATGATTTTAGAGTCTCTGTAATAAGAAAAGGAGAGGTAACAATTCAAACAAAAAGAAATGTTGTTTAGACTATATCTAATGTTCTTTTTGTTCAAGATTATATGAGATTTCCATTAAAGATGGAGTTTGTAAACTTCAAGATGAAAAATTGGGATTAATTGCCCAAGTTGATATAACACCTAATAGGATGTTTCCACTGTACTTCCACACCATCACCAATTCATGCTTCACTGCAAGATTGAAAGATGAAAGTTGGCTTTGGCATTTTCAGTATGAGCATTTAATTTTTGGAGGTTTAAAGACATTGCAGCAAAAGAATATGGTGACAGGGCTCCCACAAATACAAACTTCTTCTCAAATTTATGAAGAATGTGTCATTGGTAAACAACATCGAGAACCATTTCAGAAAAGAAAATCATGGAGAGCAAGGAAGGCATTGGAACTCATGCATTCAGACCTGTGTGGACTCATTACTCCGATGTCAAATGGAGGTAAACGATATTTTATATCGTTCATTGATGATTTTAGTAAAAAACTTGGGTTTATTATTTGCATGAAAAATCTAAAGCTCTCACAGCCTTTAAAAGTTTCAAATCTCTAGTTGAAAAAGAACCAAGGACTCCAATTAAGGTATTGTGCAGTGATCGTGGTGGAGAATACAATTCAGAAGAATTTGTTAATTTTTGTGATAAGTAAGGAATAAAGAAGCAACTAACTACATCATACACACCTCAACAAAATGGCATTTGTGAAAGGAAGAATTGCACAATTTTGAACATGGTACAAAGTCTTTTAACAAGAAGTGGAGTTCCAAAAGCTTTCTGACCTGAAGCAGTCAATTGGAACATCCATATCTTGAATAGAAGCCCCACAGTAGCTGTTCAAAATATCACACCAAAAGAAGCTTAGAGTGATCAAAGACCGACCGTAGATTATTTCAGAATTTTTGGGTGCTTTGCCTATGCCCATATCCCATATTAGAAGCGAAAAAAACTTGATGATAAAGGAGAAAAATGCATTTTTCTTAGTGTTAATGAGCAATCAAAAGCTTACAAATTGTACAATCCTATCACTAAAAAAATTGTTATTAGCCGTGATGTGGTGTTCGATGAGGGTCTGTTTTGGAATTGGGATGCAGACAAAGCTGAACAACAAATAAAGCTGATTCTAATGGTGAAGATGAAGAAGGAATGCAGCAGCCAATAGCACAAGTGCAAAGTGAGCAACAAACAGTTGAACCAACAAATGAATGTCCTCAACAAAACAAGAGGAGACCTGCATGGATGGAATATTTTGTGGTAGATAAGATTAATGAAAAGGAAGTTACGCATTTTGCTCTATTTTCATATTGTGATCCAGTAGCCTTTGAAGAAGTTGTCAAAGAGTCAAAATGGAGGAAGACAATGAATGAAGAAATGGCAGCCATTGAACACAACAATACTTAGGAGCTTACTGATCTTCCCAAAGGGCACAAAACTATTGGTGTAAAGTAGGTTTACAAGACAAAACTAAAGGAAAATGGCGAGGTCAAATTTAAGACGCACTTAGTAGCTAAAGGCTATAAGTAGCAATTTGGGGTTGATTATAAAGAGGTGTTTGCTTCTGTTGCTTGTCATGATACAATCAGGTTGATAATTGCTATTGCAGCTCAAAACTCATGGCCCATCTTCCAATTAGATGTGAAATTGGCATTTATACATGGTGATTTGAAAGAATAAGTGTTTGTTGATCAACCTCATGGATATGTGAAGCAAGGAAATGAGCACAAAGTATATAAGTTAAACAAGGCTTTGTACGGATTGAAGCAAGCCCTAAGGGCTTGGTATAGTCGCATCAAAGCTTACTTTCTAAAAGAAGGCTTTCAAAAGTGTCCTTATGAACATACACTCTTTACCAAGGTTTGTGATGGAGATAAGATAATTATTGTTTGTTTATACGTTGATAATCTTATTTTTACTGGGAGTGATGTTGCCATGTTTAACAAGTTCAAGAAGTCTATGATGATTGAATTTGACATGACTGATCTTGGCTTGCTTCATTATTTTTTGGGCATTGAAGTGGTGCAATCAACTGCTGAAATTTTTATTTCCCAAAAGAAATATGTGCAAGCTATTTTAGACAGGTTTCAAATGAAGAATTACAACTCAGTTTGCACACCTACTGAAGTAGTTATGAAGCTTATTCAAGATCCTGAAGGGAGGAAAGTTGATATCACCATCTACAAGCAAATGGTGGGAAGTTTGATGTATTTGATTGCAATAAGGCCAGACATTATGTAAGTCTCATTAGCAGGTTCATGGAGTGCCTAAAGGAAATTCATCTTTTAGCTGCAAAAAGAATACTTCAGTATTTGAAAGGTACTGCTAGTTATGGTATGCTTTATAAACAGGGTAAAAAAATAGATTTATTTGGCTTTACGGATATTGATTATACTTGTGATTCAGATAATAGGAAAAGTACTTTGCGTTATGCATTTATGTTGGGCTTAGGGGCCATTTCGTGGTCCTCAAAGAAACAACCAAATGTCACTTTATCTACAACTGAAGCAGAGTTTGTGGCTGCAATAACATGTGTCTGTCAAGCTATCTGGTTGAGGAAAATACTTGGTGAATTACACTTGTTGCAACAAGAAGCAACATCAATTTTCTGTGACAATAATTCAGCAATTAAACTTTCAAAAACATGTACGGAGCAAGCATATAGATGTAAAGTACCATTATTCGAGGGACATTGATGAATCCATATTTTATGGGATTTTTACTTGTTATTTTAATGTTTCTTAATAGAAAAAAGTAAACTTAGGGTTGTAAATAACATAAAAATATTATTTTGGTCAATTTATAATAGATTTCTTAATTTTAGGTTAATTTACATTGATTTACATAGATATAGTTTGTAATTTTGATCATTTGAATAATTGTGCAGGAGTTTCTAGACTTTTTCCATGGATTTTTAGCATTTGAGAAAGTTTGAGGTGAGAGTGATCACTTTGGAGTCTATAGTGAACACTACAGCAAGCTTGTTCCAAAAAGATAGACCAGAGTGATCACTATGAACCCATAGTGACAACTCCAGAAAGGCCAAAAAGTACAAGATCCTGCGCGTAGCTACTATAGAACCATAGTAGACACTCTGGAGCAGCCAAAGTTATCACTCTGATGCCAAAGTGACAACTCCAGAGAGGGCAAAAACACAGGACCTGCGCGTAAACACTATGGAGCGAGAGTAATCACTTTGGGGCGTTGCGCGTTATCACTATGAAGCCAAAGTGATAACTCCAGAGAGGCCAAAATCACAGACCTTGCGCGTTATCACTATGGAATGTGCGTAATCACTTTGAGACGCTGCGCGTTATCACTATGAAACCATAGTTGTCACTTTGGGCGAAAATTTCTGCACTATAAATAGAATTTGAGAAATTAGGGTACGGGACTTTTTACATTTCCTTAGATTCTTTTGCCACTTTGGGAGCATTTTGCAGAGCCTAGGATCTTTGGGTGACAGCCAGGGGTCCATTATAGGTTTTTAATTTCCAATTTCCCGTTGATTCTCATTGATTTTACATTGATGTTGCTTACGTTTCTGCATTTCCTTCTTTCATTTGTGAAGCCCATCCATATGGAGGGCTAAATTCTCTTGTAATTCCTAGTCAACTCATGGTTTTTGAATTCTTGGGTTTAATGGCAATATTACTCTTTATTTCCTTGGATTTATTAACCCCAATCTCTGAATGAAATGAAATTTGCATGAGGGGAACATTGCTTAATGAACCCTAAATTACCCAAACGAAATTCTAATCCAAAATTGCTTAATTTTGATTAATCTTTGAGATTGCTTAATCTTAGGGATAGAGATTGGAGCCCATTAAGATGCTTAATTTTAATTGGGATGCTAAGGTTAATTTTCGCTTGTTAGATTAACTTAATTCAAGGGAAAAATAGGGGATTATTGAATCATTTGGAAGAATAGTGATAGAACTCATTGATTGACTAGGGATTACTCTTCTCAATTGATTGAATTTTACTAGTTTACATTTTGCTCTTGATTAAAATCTGGAAATTGACAAACCTCCCCCCAATTTACTTGCTTTAAAATATATGTTTACACTTATTCGATGTATGTTCCCAACCAAAAATTCCTTGGAGACAACCTAGGACAACGCCTTAGTATTGCATACATTTCTTTGCATATTTGATGAGGATTAACGACAATCTTTGTGCATAACGAGTAGCAAAAATCTCGCAGCATCAGACATCAACAGGGTTAAAAAATAGATTTATTTGGCTTTACGGATATTGATTATATTGGCGATCCAGATGATAGGAAGAGTACTTTGCGTTATTCATTTATGTTGGGCTCAAGGGCCATTTCGTGGTCCTCAAAGAAACAACCAAATGTCACTTTATCTACAATTGAAGCAGAGTTTGTGGCTACAACAGCATGTGCCTGTCAAGCTGTTTGGTTGAGGAAAATATTTGTTGAATTACACTTGTTGCAGCAAGAAGCAACATCAATTTTCTGTGACAATAATTCAGCAATTAAACTTTCAAAGAACCCTGTGTTACATGGACGGAGCAAGCATATAGATGTAAAGTACCATTATTCGAGGGATATCACAAATAATGGAGTCATTGATTTGATTTACTGTAGAAGTGAATACCAGGTTGCTGATATTTCCACTAAATCTTTAAAGATAGTTGCATTTCAGAAGTTAAGAAGGTTGCTCAGTGTCTGCACTTTAGATGATCCATTAGTTTGAAACTGTAATCTTTTAAACAAAATATTTACAAATATTTTGGTTTAAGGGAGAGTTTGTTAAGGCTGTATGTACTTACGTGCAAAGTTTAAGTCCAAGCAGTTGGTTAGAAAGGCCATATTGTAGAAATAATTTATTATAATTCTCTATTATTTTTTTTTTATTTCAAACTTTTTCCTTTATAAAAACAATATATTGCAGCAATATTTATTTGTTTGTAACAATCTTCATAAAAGGAATCAAGATGGATGAGGGAGAGACGTGAGATTTTCAATTCTCACCAATTGAATAGGGAGAGAAAAGCAAAAAGAGTTAAATTTTATCGGGTAAGATTCACCTTAAAAACTCTTTCCAATGGGTACAAGTTTTTTCCATTTCTCTTCTCTTTCATAAGAGACTCATAAAAATTTTCTCCTTGACCAAAAAAAAAAAAAATTCTCGAATTTATCTTTCCTATTTTATTCTTCTTTTTATATAAGGGAGTAAAATTAAAATAGTATTACACTCATTTTTTTACATATTTTTGCACTCATCTAAATAATATGTTTTTATTATATTTTTCTTTTCTTTTTCTTATTTCTTTTATCATCCAAACAAAATATAAATATTAGGTGTTTAAAATCTTACCATTAGGGATGTGAATAGATTAGGCTAGAGGTTAAATTAGTCTACCTTATTACATAAAACTAGAGTCTAAGCCTATACTTATGACCTGACATATATTAAATTTTTAGGCTTGACTTTACTTCTTTAGAAATCTATCCTGACTCAGTAGCCTATTTAGTAGTCTATTTAGCAATAAATCTTTCAAATAAACTGACAATTTAAATTTAATGAACCAGTAGGTCAATGAACTAGTAACTAATGGGCTAGCAAGCCAAAAGGTCTATTATTAGTAAAATAGAAAACATATGATAAATAATTATATTTAAATATTATATTTAGCAACAAAAAAAACATAAATAACTTCACAGATATTATATCTCAAAATAACTGTATTCAATAACTCCACTAAACTTTAAAGAATTATATTAGGATTAAAAAATTGAAACGTATTTAAATTAAAAAGACTAGAATAAGAATTAAAAAAAATAATTCTAATAATAAATTAAAATATTTTAAAAATCAGACAAAGTTTTAATTGATACTTTAATAATATAATTATAATTATCATATTATTAAAGTATAAATATTAAACTACGTTATACATTATATATATATATATATATATATATATATATATATATAATTTTTTAGACAACTATATTTATATTAAATTATTACAAATAAATAATATAAATTATAAAATAATATAATTATTTAATTAAGTTGACCTAATAAATTTAATTTTTTTTTAAGTTTAAGCTTAATTTCTTTATTTAAATGAGCTTTTTTAAAAATTTAAATTCACCTTTTAAATAAAGGTGTCGAACTGCTAACCCATATGCCCGAACACATTTCCATCCCTACTTACCGTTCTCTGAATTTTGACACAATACGAGACGAAAATAAGCTTTAACTACGAAATGTTAGTTGTTTTTTAATTTATATATATATATATACACAATGGAAATGTCCCAACTTGAAAACAATAAAGAATAGTCTCCCGCGCCCCCAATCGCTATCGTAATGGTATTGCTACGATATACAGTTCGCCTCTTCATTGTTGCGACTTGCGAGTGAGGGTTTTACACTCTTCACACTCTCCCAAACCCTTCTTCTTCCCATTCTCAAGTACTCGCACTTCTTTCTCTATTTTCTCCATTCCTTTTCTTGTCTCTCTATTTTGTTTTTCTCAGTAGCAAACCTAATTTACATCAATTTCCGTGAGTTGGGCCTGGGAATCGTGGACCCGGCCCAGCTACTTCTATGCTGTTTATTGCTTTCTGATTATCTCTCAATTTAGCTAGTAAGGAGTTGAAATTTTTGAGGAGGATCTTTCGGTGATGATATTTCTAAGATAATTTTTAAGTCAATATTTATGATTGGAGTATGGTACTTGCAGGTTGATACTGTACAAGTTGTGCCAAACATGATGTATTCTATTAAGGGTGGCTTGGGCCAAACGTTTGCCCTTGCTAAGCATAATGAATCTGAAGGCAGAAAAACTCGAATTCGTCGCTCAAAGGAGGAAAGAAAGGCAATGGTGGAATCCTTTATAAAGAAGTAATTGCATGCTAATTTCTCTTTATCCAATATTTTACTATCCAAGAAAGTATCTCAATTAGAATTTGTCCTCTGACCACTGTTCCTGCTTTTGTTTTACACATTATTACATTTAATTGTTTAATCTGCGCTGTCCTTTTGTATTTTCGTATTTCCCAACTCCAATCTATACACAATACCTCCCCCCTTTTTTTTCTTTCTGAACATTCCATGGGATGTGATTGATTGTTACCAATTGTGATTGATGAGTATTGATGAATTAGGAGATTCACTCATTTTGTCAAAACTAAGGGCTACAAGTTGGAGTTTTTTTTTTCCTTTCTAATGATTGATTGTAATATTGATATTGTTGTTTGAGCAATGCCTGGATTAGTACTTCGCTACATCTTGGTGCTTGTTTGGTGTGGGAGTGCAAAATTGATATTTGTTTCCAATATAGTTTTACTAATAAAACTTATGCATGGATTTTTTTACCACATTTTTACCTTCCTCTTTATTCCTATTATTCACAGATTAGATTTTCTGTATTTGTGTATGCTTTCTGTTATTTGATATCATTCTATTTTCTAATTTTGTCTGCCACTGTACTGTTTATGCTTAAAAGGTTGAGCACTGGAACCTTGTAGCATGCCTGTTATTCTTCATTTGTCGTAATTTAAGTCAAATTTTAACAGCCTGTTTTGTCAATGATTTGTTGAATGCATCACTTGTATTTACTATCTATTTACTTGTCTCCAGGTACCAAGATTCAAACAACGGAAACTTTCCATCACTTAATCTTACGCACAAAGAAGTTGGTGGTTCTTTCTACACAGTACGGGAGATTGTACGTGATATAATTCAAGAAAATAGAGTGTTGGGTCCTGCTAAGTTCACTTTAGAAGAACTAAAAACTGATCAATTTTTTGAACAAAATCCATTGGGTTCAATTGCGAGAGATCCTCAACCTTCTCTGGCTGCATCTTCAAATGAAAATCATCCTGAGCCTAACAAACTTCAGGATGCACATAGCAAAATGATTTCTATTTGTGATGGATCTTATGCTGCAGCTGAGGCTCAGGTGGTTGACAAGGGACATATCATGAGTGTTGGCCATGTAGATGTGACAAACAAGGAACCCATTGAAGTAACTGTTGTTTCTGATGGGTATGATACTGGAGATAAGCATCCAATTGGTGAGAAAGGGCATGCCATAAATGTTAGCCAGGGGGCCGTGGCAAACAATGAATCTTTTGAAGCTACTGTTGTTTCTGATGGGTGTTGCACTGGAGCTGAGCACAAAATTGTTGACAGAGGGAACTTCTTAAATGGTGGCCAAGTAGATATGATAAACAAGGAATCCAATGAAACTGCTATTTCTGAGATGCAGGTAAGTGATCCTACCACACTCAAACAAAATGTTGAACAAGAGTTGGGAGCTGCAACAACACCAACGGCTAAAGTAACTGCTGTGACAGAAGATTTGATAGTAGAGACATTTCCATTAAGACCTGTTGCTAGGACTACCAGTGGGATAGAAGGACTAGGAGAGTTGAGAGACTCAAGTAGTTCAACAGAAAATGGTATAGAAGTGTTGGAACTGGAACATGACGAGAAGTCTGAACTAAATGGTATGCAGCCCCCAAAGAATTCTAATTTATTGGATGAGAAATTTGAGGTTGCCCCTGGAAATCAAATATTAAAGGATATCTCTAACACTGGCCATGATAAGGAGGAAACTATAGGAGTTACATTAGATGATAGTGCAAACCATTCTACCCACAAAGATGATTTTGGTCATCAATTTGAAGATCGCACTGATTCTCAAGTTAGAGTATCTCATCAAAATACGAAAACCTTTGAAAGCATTAACCAAAGCCAGACAACAGATGTAGCTAAGGTAAGTTTTTTTTATCCATACTTTTAATAAAATTGTCAGAGTCAAATACACTTCAGTCTTCAGGTATTTGGATTTTTGTCTGTTTCTTGGGGGCAGAAATTTATATGTTTCTGGTTAATTCATTGTCTTTTACGGGCAGAAAATTAGATCCTACTTGGAAAATGTGTCAATTTTGTGTTTTTTCTTTTTCTTGATCATCAACTACTGCATAAGTTGGTTTGCATTTTCTCTGGAAATATTAAGGCTCATGGTTCCCATAAATAATAAGCAATTTATAAGAAACAATATTTTTATAATTATTCGAGGAGAAATTTACGTGTAGCATTTAAATATATTCTTACAGACAAGCGTTCAAACTAAGAACCCCAGCAAGACTAATCAATCTTCTGACGAAGAAGGCTTGTGTAAAGCTGATAAACATAGAGTTGACGGTCAACTTTGTGGCAACTCCCAGAGAAGAAGCAACACAACTGTAGATAGGATCAATCTGTAAGTATATCCGAAGTGATTTGATCTCAAATTATCTGCAGATTTCAAACGCCATTTAATTCATAGAAGTATTATTTTACAACAAACAATTGACTCTTTCTCTGGATTTCACTGCAGAGAATCATGGGACGGAGCAGCAAGAAATTCGAAACCCAACCCACTTTTAGCTGTTTTGAAAGTTTTTGTGGATGCTTTTGTGAAATTTTGGTCAACATGAATATTTTAGCATTTGTTTCCTTTTCTTGTGTAACCTATGGCATGCAGTTGATGTTTTGTACCTAACAAAGAACAATTTTGACGAGTCTTGATTAATTAATGTGCCCATCTTTCTTTTCTTTTTCATTTTACGTTTTCAATTGCAACGATCTTGTTTTCTCAGTTGACTCGGTTATGTGGGATAATGAGATCATGTAAGTTCGGTGATGTTTGTAGGCACACGGGATGAATCCATCGGTTTCTTTAGCGTGCGAGTTTGTGAGTCTAATAACGCCAAGTTAGTCGTTAATCCCCGCATGTTGATTTCTTATGTTTTACTCAACATTTTTTTATTATTTTAATTTCGATTACAAATTGAATAAGACTATGTTCAAAGTCGTAGTAAATTCTGTCAATTTGGGAGAACGTGAAGAGATACTCAGCAAGGCTAACCATTTCTATTGTCATTCAATTCAACCTCGATTGGTTTTTAGTTTGCTTGAGATTAGGTGACAGACAGACAGACAGAACGTGGGTCTCTCAATTGGGGAAAAGGAAGGATAAGGGTAACCATTTCAATTATCATTCAATTCATTTTCATTTTTGATGCCCTTACTAAATCGTAAATCCAAATTTCAATAATGTCTAATTGCTTCTTCCCCCATGAAATTGTGGTGGAAATCCTCCACAGGCTTCCATCAAAGAGCCTTGTGAAATGCACCTTGGTGTGCAAGTCATGGCGTTCCCTCATCACCGACCCTTCTTTCATCTCCCTTCACCACCGCCATTCCCCTTCCTTCCTCCTCCTTCAGCTCTGCAACGAACGCACCTTCCCCAACCTCCTTCACTATTCCCTCCACCGTGACGACCCCTTCCTCACCCACTCCTCCTCCCTTCGCCTCCCCACTTCCTTTGACCGTGAATTCTCCGTCGTCGCCATCTGTAACGGCCTCGTTTGCATCACCGCCGGTGAAGCGTACCATGCTCTCATCATTTGCAGCCCTTCTGTTCGACGATTTGTTAGCCTCCCTAGACCCCGTGACTACCTTAGTTTCTATAGTGCCTCCGTTGCCTTCGGCTTCGATTCCAGAAACTGTGATTACAAAGTCGTGAGAATTGCTTGCATGGTGGATGATGAAAGGTTCGGGATTTCTGCTCCTGAGATTGAGGTTTACTCCCTTGCCAGTGGGTTTTGGAGGAACCTTGATGGGGTTGCTCCTTTGTGTACCTTGTGTTTCGTTGGTAGAGATGCTCCTCATGGTTTTGTTGATGGGATTGTTAATTGGGGTGCCAAACGCTGGGTGGGTGGTGGTGATGATGGTTGTTGGTACTATTTTGTTTTGTCGTTTGATTTTGAGGATGAGGTGTTTGGTGAGGTTGTGCTGCCGGAGACGTTTGCTCGTGTCTCCTCGGATGCAGTTACGGTTACTGTCGTTGGTGGTGGCAATGGGAAGGCTCTTACTGTGTACTCTGTGAATGGTGATTCGCCCTGCTCTTGTGACATTTGGGTCATGAAAGAGTATGGTGTTGTGGAGTCTTGGAATAAGGTGTTTGCTTTTAATCTGAAGGGGTTTTGTCTGGAAGCACCCTCTCTGGGGATAACGGTCACTGGCGTGACTGCTCCTCCGGCGGCATTGTGTGTTAGGAATAGTGGAGAGGTGTTGCTGCTGATGGATGAGGAGGGAAAGGGGTGTTTGTATTCGCTAGACTTGGAGAGCAAAAGATTCACATACCTTCAAATTGGAGGAGATGGGTACTCTTGGTATCTTTATTCTGGTTATTATTCTGAGAGCTTGGTTTTACTCAATAAAGCAAGTGGTTTGGTGTCTTATTGAAGAGGTAATGCCATCTGAATCCGATACATGTGCAACATATATTAAGATGCTAAATTTATTGTGTGTGGATATATTTTTTACTGTCTTTACGCGTTGTTTTCTGAATGGGAGGAATGCCTCTCTTGAGGTTTGTCAAGTGTGTAAATGAATGATACGAGTATAGGGAGTGTGTGCCTAGTGTTTATCTATGTTTCTTGTTTATGAATTCCAAGTATTAACTAGTTTTCTGCTAATAGAATAGCTATAAACTATATTTTTAATAGAAATTTCTCTGTCAAATTATTAGAACTTGTGTGGTGCCAAATATGTTAGAAGCCGAAGATTGGCATAATCGAAATACAAAAGTATAAGAAACATTAGAAGGGCCAGAGTTTTTGGGATTGTATGAAATCCCTTTGAAGCCAATAACACTAGTGACTGCAAATAGGGAGGCCCAATTTATCCAATTCAGTTATGATCAGTTTACTGATCTCAAATTCTTCGTGACCCAATTCAGGATTCTCATCAATCTTCCTTCTGATTTTGACCATCCAATAAAAAACCTCTGGCTTCTTGGCAATGTCTAGAAAGTTGGTGGAGTGTTGGGTTGAGGTGAAGGAAGAATTTCTTGATGAGAAGACGGGTGTTGCAGCAAACACAGAAAATGATGAAGAAAGGGAACCGTTTGAAGATGGTTCTTTAACAATCTTTTTTACAATGCTGCATGACATCGTAGTGCTTAGCCAATATTGGTTAACCATCTACCTTACAATAGCGTCTGTTGATGCAACTACGAACAAGTACATTCTTCAGGTTCATCATGACCCAAAACCCAACCTGATATATATTTGATCAAGTTAATTTTTTTAGTGACCAAAATAATAAAACAATAAAGTTAAGTTTTAAATTCTGACCTGATTTAATCATCACTATTAAGAGTGGGTCAATTTGGTTTTAGATTAAAAAAACAAATTTTAAACTTGTTTAAGGGTAAATTACAATATTGGGATTGTAGGAAGTCCAGCCAATGCTGCATGGCACCGAAGACCTTGATGCCTAAGGTGCCGCGTGGTGTAGAAAGAAACAGACTAAGTTATTTCCTAGTTATCAAAATTCGATCAATTTTTGTTGTCACATAATTTATTTATTTTTTGGTATAATTGTCACATTATTAAAATAGAAGCAATGTTTTAAAGAACGACTCAGGTTGCTTGGTTACCTTTCCCGTTAGATTCTTTGTTTATGTTTCTGCCTTTTAAATTAGCATAGGTGAATGGTTTTTATCTTTATCATTCCTGTCTAATGTATCTTTTGAGCTTCGTTGTATTGCCTAAAATAAGAGTTGCTTCAAGAATCTAGACGTTATTACAGGATAAATTTACCTTACATTCCCACACCAATTTGTTTGTTTTTTTTGTTCAAAACTTCTAACAGCAATTGAGTTAACTTGTAATGCTTTGGGTCTGCCCTATGTTTGACAGCCCAAAACTTCCTTCACGTATGAAAATTGGGTTCAATCTTATCTCTAAATTTCACGGAAATTGGGCCGAATCCACGCATATGTACATATCGATTAGTTTTCTGGTACTTTTTTTTTGTGTGTTCTTTAGCGTGCATATGTTTTCACTTCTTACATCACATTTCTTTAACATTCTGCATTTTTTAATTATTATTTTGACATAATTTATCCTTAAAACAAGATAAATTACCAATCATATTGAAAGTGGTAGAACTCAAATCGTGTGATTAGGCATAATGTAATAATCTTTTAAAAAAATTAGAGTGAGTTTTAACACAATAATTTATCTACCTTATAATTGCTGAAAGATTGAATATACGATTGTCTCCTAAGTGGCAATATGCAGTTACTTAGTTCTTAAAATTTGTGTTTGTACGATGAAGCTTTTGAATTTATCAATTTCCTTACAAGTTTTGGACAAAAATCACAAATTTTTAATGGAAGGAGTAATTTGGCACAGATAACAGTTCAGGAACTAAATTATATACACACAAGCTTTCAAAGTTCACTCACGAGTGTGTGAGAGAGAAAAGAGAGAAGATCAATTGAGGTTTTAAAATTAAAGACTAACCCATATACGAACAAAAAAATGTCTAACCATATAATCTAGAAGACTAATTCGAGGTTTTACTTGATTTTTATATTTTGATTGGTTTCATTTTGAGAGATTTTCAATGTGAACCAACTATACTTCCTTTGGCAGAGGTTAATAAGTTTTCTCTTTTTCTCTCTCTTTATTTACTTTGCAAACAATCACTTGCTTAGCCTGAAGCCAATAGCAACCCGGCAACTGCTATTCACTCCAAAATCCTAAATCAGCATAAAGCAATTAGTGTCACTTAACAATCATCACGCGTTATTTTTAACAATAATGTGATTCATTAGTCAACAATCTTGTAGCTTAGATAATAGCAGTATACCTGCAACTACAATATATCTATAAAAAATGAATTTAATTTTGGTGCATTTTCAGTTATACTCTAAATTAATTAGAATATATTGTGAATATAATTTTTGTATTAATTTATATAACAATTTATATTTGAATAACTAGCTGTATTTAAATTAACTTTTAAAAAATATGCAATAATTCATCAAAACCATCCATCCCATTCTCAAATCCAAAGTTTCAACTGAAAGTGAACATAGAAGCATAGGAGGCAAGCAGCATGTAGCAGACAGCATCATAACACATCAAATAGGAATAAAAGAAAATAACAAAGACAAACCTCCAAAACTGGGACACCAGATCAACCAGTCAAGTTTCAAAAACACTGAAACCAAAACTTCATTATTCAACAACCATTCATCATTCATAAATCTCATGGGGTTTCACATCATAACTCTTCCTCTAGTGATTCCACAAAATTAATTCATCATAATACATATATTAGTTCAGTTCCAGTGTTGATAGTGCCTCTATATAATCGCGTACCAAAGCTCTAAAAGACTATTGGATTCAAGAGATTTAATTTTGATACATGTATTATATAGCATCTAATTCACTAATTATGTATATCTCCAATCATCATGTTGTTTTCACATCACATGAACCATAGATGTATGTTATTTTCATGTGTCTCCCTTCTTATGAATTTTCACATTTGGTCCCATCTTTATCCACTTGATTGTCAAGCTTAATCATTCAAACTTGGGGTCAGCATCAGCATCTGTTCACCTTAATGCTGGTTTTTCTGAAAAGGAAAAAAAATTCTAGCCACTAGTTTCATACTGATTTTGATACCTAGTAGCTATATATAAGATATTTTCACGTAAAGAAAAATATTCATCTTCACATTGCAAATTAGGTTTAATTTAGTATATAATGTATGACATTTACTTACACAAACACAACACCTCAACGGCTTTTGCTACATAAAATGATACAACTAATATTTTTAAAAATATGCAATTATTATGAATATTTACATTAATCACTGCATTTGAGTTTGGCCTAAAGTTTTTGAAAAAAAAAATTTCATAAAAGTAAAGTTTTCTTATTAAAATTTCCTTTACCCATCTCTTCTATCAGAATATTTTACTTTTTTTGGTCAAAGGTTCCATCATAATCAATTATAATGGGTTCTTCTAATGCACCTTCACAGGCAACAGGTGGGGAACCTTATTTGAATGTCCACATATTGGCCCAACTTGCGCGTTTGATTGTCCACCTCAATCAAACTTTGGGTCACCATTCACATTACAATTTCATGCTGATTTTAGACCCATTGATTAAACCCTCACCCTATGGTGTAGATTTGTCACAAACAAGATGGAGACGTGTATATCTTTGTTTTCTATTCTGAAACTAGTAAATGCATCTTCATATTTAATTTTATTATGAATTTACCATTAGTTTGCATAGCACAAAGATATTTACTTTCATTAATTTTTATTTTAATTAAATAAGTCGTGTTATGTATAGCAAACATATTTGCGTATGCACATGGCCAAGAAAAAAAGGGAGTGTAACTGTGATAAAAAAAAATTATTAATAACGTATTATTATAATGATTATCTTGAAAAGACGACTTTTAAATAAATATCTTAAAAGCATTACTTAGGGGGAACGATGAAAGAATCCCATCTACTAATAGAGCCCGTAGCGTGTAAGATACAACTGCATCATACTAATTCGACACGGGAAAAAAGGTTGTTATTGTTCATCCATGCTACCCCATTTGCTGATAGAAACTATATTGTGGTTTAATCTAGTAAAATTACCAAAATACTTAGCTTTTGCAGTTTCCAACTTCATGATCTCCACTGTTTAGTCACTTTATTTATTATATGCACATGATCAATTGCCTTATTTTCATTCACACTATCAGGCACACCTAATAAAATGGATTTTGAATGAGAAACTTCAATTCACAATTGTTATTGGCTCTCTTTTAATTACTGAGTAGTTAAAAACATAAAAGCAAAAGGTAGGCATTACATTTTCAGTTTCAACCAATACATCACATGCATGGATTAGGTTTAGAATTCAATAAAGGTTAAAATGTTGATACTCATTTGGGCAACATTTCTCACATAATCATTTGGTCACGAGGAAAAGGAAATACTCTATCCAAAAGGCCATTATATGAATGACCTGCACAAAGGGATTTTGTGTTTCTTTTTTGTGAGCTAATTCCTGTGACACCAGCATCACTCAGTTTATTCAAATATGCAGTGAAAATTAGTTCGAAGTTCTTTGGAATCCACTAGGAAACAAAAAAGCATAATAATTTAAGATCATCATCATCATCCTGGACCAGCCCTTGAGCCCATATCTACCTAACAAAATATCATGCAAACACAAATTTCAATGTTTAGAGTTGTAGAACAACCCAGATCACTAAATAATCAAGCCGTGCATGTATGTATAAGGTTCATCTATAAAATTGAGTTGTAAGATCTAACCAAAGTATGATAAGAAGGGAATAAGGAATCATGTTAAGAATAAAGTATTATTTAAAGAACAAAATTAAGATGAAAGAAAGACTCATTTATATATCTTTGCAAAGATCTATTGTGTCTTAACAATTACTTATTAACATTGAATATAGTAGCCACACCAATGTCCATGTTATAGATGTTTCGGCTTTACTTGCTATCTGCTGGTTGCTATCAACATTAATGATTGGTCAATCATAAAACCCTTCAACTACTGACTGCATTTTTAATTGCTATACATCAACAACTGCAATCCTTAGCTTCTATATTTCCATATATTAACATGTTCAGGTGCAACCAATGTAAGAGATTTCAATGACGATTTTTCAATAATATATAACTTCAATTGCAGCCAGCTATTTTCACAAATCAGTGGTTAGGAGTCGCTCTTCACAAAAGTTATCTGACATGCATATTATTATTCTATCTGCTGACATGAAATTTCCTTATCTGCACATAGCCAAACACAATCAATGTGTTCATTTAATAAGTTCCAAGTACTATCTGTTCTTGGTCCCAATCTTAATGGTTCTCAGTCTTTACTTCCCTTAATTACATACTGATAGCATTTTTTATTGCAAAAAGATAAAGAACTTCAATGTTCAGTGTTTTTTGTCTAAAACACGTATACTATTATATAAAAGGAGTGTCCTAAACAAATATCACTTAAATAAGACTGGCAACTGACACACCCATTATTTTCGATATACTTGCATGTATGAGCACAACCAAAAACTATCTTTGAATCTGATAACCGTAATTAACTCTTAGATGTCTTCATCATTCAATAGTTAATTAGAAAGTGCACAAGTTATGGGTATTTTTTATTCTGGTTACAATTTTAAGTATTTCATATCCATTTATACAGT